AGCCAGGACGATATTTTCGGCATCACCAAGAACTCTCAGTGGACAGTACGATGAATTCGCCAAGGAAACTACACCATTTAGCTACTATCACATGTCAATATGGACTTTGGACGAGCTTAAGGAATGTAGAGCCAATGTAGAGCATTATCATCGAATGGATGAAGAATTTTTGGAGGAGCTCTTTTGCAACTTGGGGGGTGTGCCAAGACAGGTCCTACAGGGTCCATCTGATGTACTATGCAGAAATCAAAAAGATATTGACGGTGCTAGAGAGACTGCGTTTCAGTGTGTCAATGATGCCATTGGCCTACTCCAGTCCCCAGGAGATCTTTTTGACCTCTTTATTCCAGGAGATAAAGCGGGTAGTCATTTACTCCATAGAGTCCCCACTTCTGACCACCTCCGCTTCCACCTGGTATGGGCATCTCCTTATGTTCGATCACGTATCATCATGGAATTACAAGATCAGACTTGGATCGACGAGTTGAAGCGACTTGCCAAAGCTGGCAGTGAAATAAAAAAAGGACCTTCGTTTGAACTCTATGTTCACTATTTAATTCGATGTGGTGGACTTCGGTTTCCATTTAAGGATCTTCAGTCAGACGAAACAGGATTCTTTGATCTCCCGAGGGACTCGGAAGTATTATTTACCAAGACTGCAGCAGATTTTTCAACATTCTCCAAAACAACAGACAAGTTGTTTCTACCATCTTTACCCAACTTTCCGTGCATCGATTTTGCATTGGGACCCAACAAGCTATTTCAGGTCACAGTATCAGAGAATCATCCGATCAAGCAAGCACCATTTAAGGATATAATTGATTATATTACTGGACCCTGCCCGAAGGGAAACCGATCAGATTCGAAAGGAAACCGATCAAAGTCGAATGGAAGTGATGATACCATTTTCCTCTACTTTCTGGTACCAGGATACATATATGACAATTTTAAGGCTCAGAGGTTTGTTATAAACGATGATCAGGATACCAAGACAATACCTGGATGCTTGAAACATGTAAGACAGCGTGTCATAAAAATCGACATCAATGTTGTATATTCAGGCGGTACGAACCTGAAGAATTAAATCGAATACCAATTAAGTGGATGAAATTTGTCATGTAAAAGAAAAGCATTATACCTGTTCCTTGAGGGTTTTTTACAATAGTACATCCTTTATGAATGAAGCCATCATTATCCACTTACCTTTTAGACGAATAGATAGTGTGGTTTAATCAGTCCTCCCTTCTACTGGGGCATTTAGGACTTTATAAAGCTTCCTGTGATCATCATGCGATCTTGTGTGCAAGAAAGGGCGGAATTTTGTGATACTATTACCAAAGAGTTTTGTAAGAACGGATAGAAATGAAGGATCCTGTGGAGAACCCAGTGAGAGTCTGATGATGAGACCCAAAATCATATTATTATCACCAGGACAGCTGGCATAGGAAATTATCCTTTCTCATATGCTTTGTCATCTGGATGCTTGCCATCCCGTGCACGCACCATGGGGCTAAAACGACATTTATGTCTTTAGAGCGGAGCTGTCATCCTAGCTCCCGGTAAACGTTCTGGAGCCCTAGATGATGATAATTGATGGGTCTTCCGCAAGTGGCAACCTGTGACCAATGGGATCATATTAATTGTATGTTCGGCCAATTTAGTATCAATATGTGAAGGCGGTGCGTCTTGAATCTCTAGGCGCCCAGGAACATGGAATAAAAAAACACCAAGAATTTGGCCAAGGCTGCCACGCGCTTGACCAGTAAAATGTGATACAATATTGGATTGTGTCGTCAATATATTAATAGTTCTCGGTATATTAATGCTACATGCTGTTGAGGGTATCAATCTCGCCAGAATCATTCCCTCTCACATCAATTACCTTGGGAGCTATGCTAGACGGATGGGAGATTAGGAGGAAAAGGTTCTTGATGTCTGGGATATCCACGCTTGTTTATAATCTCACCAAATGTTCTGTGCCTTGTGATCATAGGCGGTTAATTGTAGTTTGGTTTTCGTGAACCCCTTGAAGAACATAAACAAAAATGCAATTTACCCTTTTTACTGACTTGTGTATCTCAAATACTCATAGTCAATAAACGGTTTAACAGCAATGAGAAAGAATTTTATTCTAAGGATTGGTCTGAGTTTACCAAGGCATATATTTATGGCAACGTTAAATTACCAGTAACAGACGGCACAATGTCAGGCTTCCCAGATGCTTGGCGTCGATTTCACTCAGGAAAAGAGAGGCGACACATAGATCGCCACTCCTATTCTTTGACCTTCCTGGTTTGGATGGCTCTTATATGAACTGCGATCCTAATAACAAGGCAAAAGAGATTCTTGCACATATTTCGTCGTATAGTCTCAGCTTTTGCCTACTTTTTGGAGCATCTGGCTGTGGAAAGACTCGAACAGTCATGGACACACTCTCCCAAAACTGAGGATTTTGTTTCAATGCTGGTCAAGATGATCGCGGATCAGATGATGTCTGGTCTTTGATTACTTCTGTCAATCTTGGGGCTGGTGTTAACTTATCGGTAAACACTAATATTGCTATGTCGACCACTACCTGCCTGCTCCTTGTTCGTGTGTCTATCTTGTTATATTGTTTGAGTTTGTCCGAAGGTAGAATGACGCCTAGCCAATGGATGCTACTGTAAGTGTGTCCACAGGTCCTTGGAGAAGTTCATTGAGGAAACTCGGTTCCATCCAGGACACTTCAAGACACTTGTACGATATTTGGAGAAACAAAGTTCCTCAAGCTCTGCATCAAAGCTGAAAGACCATTTTAATGATCAAGCAATCGAGATGCTATATGCTTGGTCCTGTGGTCGTTTCCGTCCAATGATCACTATAATAGAAAACGTCATTGGGTGTGCCGATGCAGGCCTTTGGAAGCAAGAAATCAAGGACCTGGTGTCGTCGCTCACTGATCCAGGATATAAAGAATCTGGTAACCTATGCCATGAGTAATCTAGAATTCTGGAGTGTATTAACAAAGGGGATGCAGGAATTAAAAGCAGTGTCGACATCAGGGAAACCTTCGGTCGAGCCGTAAAGAATGGATTACTATATGGTAAAGACTTGATATTGGAGTACAAAGAGCTTGTTCCGGTCGAGGCTTCGTTTGCTCGAATTGTCGTTAATCAAAGGAAGAAGGAGTTTACAATTATCGTTGAGCCAATTGCATTTATAGCAGCAATTAACTTGTTTGAAGTGGATGACCCTGGATTGTGTAAATTGGTTAATAGTGTGTTGTTAGACGCCCCTACGTCTGGCACAAAGGGCACACATTTTGAGTATTTCAGTCCCGCTTTGTTAATTCCAATCTTCCAGAACTATAACAATGAACGAATTCTTGGATACTCACTGTAACAAAGACTCAATACATGAATCCAAGTTAATCTCGCTTTTTTTTTTTTGTTTCTAAGAGAGAACCCGTCTGGACCAGATATCGTCTTTGTACTGGAATCGGAGGGTAAATATTACCCCGTTTCCATACAGTCAAAAATCGGCGATAAGGTCAAGAATTAAGGACATAATACAACTTGCCATAACTGCATCAAGGAACACCTCTCATCACCGTCCTCTCTACCCGGCTTTTGCTCGAATGACATATCCCTGTTGCTGTTGTTTAGGCCTTATCACGTTGCCTTATCACGTTGCATTATCATGTTGTCTTATCATGTTGTCTTATCACGAATAGGGTGATTATTCAGTAGCTAAAGTCAAAGAAGTTCCTGCCATCAAAGACAAACGAATAGAAACGACGTGCTTAAAATTAGCTGGTTGAACTTCCTTGAAAGCGCAAGGGAGTCCCTCGAGAAGTCAGAGTTGACTCGAGTTATGGAGGATGAGGGAGAAGGAAGCAAGCGCAAAGAACCACAGGCAAGGAGGACATCAAAGAGAATTGTCGATAAAGCTCAAGCTATGGAGAATAAGGAAGAGTTGAGCAAACCCAGCGGATGAAATAAAAGAAAAAATGAGTTGACTCAAGCGGAGGACGACAAGCGCAATAGGTCAAGCAGGGATAAAAGACCAAGGAAAAAGGAGCGATCGTTTCTTTTACTTCTTTTTACGCCATTGTTTATGACAATGGCATAGACGCAATTTTTGTAATATAAGACTAATAAATTAAAATATCGCTATTCAGAAAACCTGAGCAAGGAGAAGTGAGCACGCCAAGCGGATTGCCGCAGCTGCATTATCGGAATTTTTTCAAGCAGTGGCAAGTTGTTTCTACTGTCTATCCCTATCTTTCCACCTATTAGTTTTGTGTTGGGGCCCAACAAGCCATTCCAGGTCACATCAGAGGAGCATCCGATCAAGCAAGCATTCAAGGAGATGATTGGTAATATTACTGGATCCTGCTTGAAGAGAAACCGATCAAATCTCGGAGAAAAGTGACAATATCACATTCCCCTGTTTCATGGTTCCAGGCGACATACACGTCAAGCTTAAGGCTCAGAAGCTCGTTATCAACAATGGTCAGAATGCCAAGGCAGTACCTTGATATTTAAAACATGTGGGACAGCGTATCATAAAAACTGATATCAATACCGCATATGCAGGAGGATCGTCGAGGTTCGAGCATGAAGAAAAGAGTCGAATGTCAATCAAGTGAAAGGAATTTTGCCTTGTAATGAAAATATCATATCTATTGAGTATTTTTACAATAATTCATCCTTTATGAACGAAGCCTTCATTATCCACTTACCCTTTAGACAAACGGGATGGCGCTGGTGACGAGCCTAGTAGACTGGCAAGGCAATTGACAATTGACAAACCATGTGCACTATACACAAAACCTTAGATAACTCCTTAAATAAAAGACATCTATTGAGCATGAGAATCTCAGAGCCAAAGCCAAAGCGTAGAACTGAGGGCAGAAAGCTTTACATCCAGGTCAGCTTTACTGATTGATTTGTCACGTGCCTTTTTTTTTTTTTTTTTTTGTTCAACAATCTGTAAATCATGCCACGCATTTGGTCATAAATGATTTAGACAGACTCTTTTACACATGCATCATTGGCGAACTGCGACACAAAAGATATTGCAATTTGCCTACTGCTCACCATTAAAACCCAGAAGCACGCTAGACAACATCCAGAAATTAGTTCATTGTGGAGCGAGAACCGCTGCAGTGAATAAGGTGCAAAGGACAATAAGATATAATAGTGGTAGCGCGACTGGGCAATACACAGGAAAACAGGATATGGAACCGGGAGTGATAGCGGTCATTGGGACCACAGGTGTTGGGAAATCAAATCTGTCTATTCAACTCGCCAAAGAACTTGATGGAGAAGTTATCAATGCTGATGCCTTACAGGTACTATATCACAGTAGTATGAATAAAGAAGAATAAGAAAAAAATAAAGATCACTTTTATTATTCTCAGCAATTCCTTAGTGCTTTAAATTTTAACAAAATATATAAAAAAAAACTAACATGTTTGTCCTGCATTATGTACAAACAGGTCTATAAGGGACTGGATATCATCACTAATAAGATGCCCATAGAGGAACGCGAGAATATTGTTCATCATTTGATAGATTTCCTCCCAATGGATCGCGAGTACTCAGTTTTGGATTTTAAAGCCGATGCTCTTGACTTGGTATAGAAATAATTGATTTGAATGACTTTCCCTTGGCCGCATACATTTAACTATCCAAGAAATGAAGAAAAAGAAGAAAAATGAAAGGTTTTGAACTCAATTAACTCTCTCTCTCTCTCTCTTTTTTTATCCACACCCAATAACTAAGATCAAACAAATTCATGGCCGGAAGCACATACCTGTAATCGTCGGAGGCACACATTATTACATTCAGTCCCTTCTTTGGCGTGACACGCTTTTGGATACTAAAAAGAATCCTGGCATGTTATCAGAAGCAGAGCAACAAGAGCAGATCAGTATTCATGAGAAATTCCTAAAAGAGTCTGATACCCTAACATTATATAAGAAGCTACAGGAAGTAGATCCTATTATGGCAAATAAGTGGCATGAAAATGACAGGAGAAAGATCACCCGATCATTGCAGGTAAGAGGTTTTTTTATTTGTTTATTTACTCTTCTGTTTCTCATCATAGCGTTTATCGCGTTTGGGAGCTAACTAAAGGGGTTTCATTGTACTCTCTTGACGCGAAAAAAAAAAAAAAAAAAAAAAAAAAAAAGGTGTATTTCGAAACTGGGCAGAGCCAGAGCGATCTGATAAAGAAGCAACATACAGTGCCAGATAATGAAAGACTGAGGTATAAAAAAAAATGCAACTAAATGCTATAGCTGAATAGGTGCCTGTTTAAAAACTAAAAAAAAAAAAAAAAAAAAAAAAAAAAAAATGCTATTTTAGGATGCCGTCATGTATATTTTGGGTTTATTCCACACAGGATGTCCTTAACGCGCGTTTGGATGCAAGAGTTGACGCTATGGTCAAGGTGCTTTAAACAATTCGACAATTAATAATGTGTTCTTATCAAACTGTATATGGTGCGTTGGCTATATCTAATCTTTTTTTTTTTTTTTTTTTTTTTTTTGCTCGATCGACATTAGGGTGGTCTTTTCGAAGAGATTAAAGGTATGCGAGCGAATGTCGGTCCAGATACTGACTACGAGCGCGGGATATGGCAAGCCATCGGTAAAATTTGGATTTATATTAACGAATACTCAACATTGTAAATGTCGCTTCATTATCACACTGCAGACGCGGACGACTTTATTGACAGCTCTGTACCCTAATATTTAATGTGATACACAGGCTATAAAGAATTTGACTCGTATTTCACAGCTGTGGAAGAAGCAATAAGAGACAATCGACCAACAGGTAAATAAAAAAGGAGAGAAATGAGTTTTTATTATTTTAGTCCTATCCTCATTATCATGTTCACATGTATATGGCTCTAACTCTCGCTCTCTGCACAGATACAAATGAATTAGAGACGCTAAAAGCAGAGTGCACAGAGACTATGAAAACGCGCACAAGGCAGTATGCTAAGCGACAGGTCCTTTGGATCCGGAATAAGCTGCTCCCACTCTGTCGTGAAAAAGATGTCAAGCTATTTCTGCTTGATGCAACCTGTAAGTACAACGATCCATATATTGCTTGAGTGGCATCTGCTGATTGCCCCGCATGATAAACCAATATCAATGATTTTTTTTTATTAGCACTGGATACTTGGAAAGAGAATGTCGAGAACGTTGCTGTTAAAATAGCAAAAGGTAAGTGTGATTGGCTAAGTGTTTTTCAATTTTGGTTCAAAGCTTTTTTTATTGATGCATTCTTATACACTTATACACAATGACACTATGATCTAATTAGATTTCTTCGCTGGAAACAGTCTTCCAGCTCCTGAAAGCCTTAATTCTTATGCCAAAGAGATGCTCACAGTACAGCGTGACCTTGAGTAAGCAGAGCCAAATAAGAAATGATCCAAGTCTTCACCACCATTGATATTTAGCTGGCCTTACAACAACCAACATTTGCATCTTCCTCTCGTCTTTCATTGATAGTGTTGTAGCAGCGTTGGAGTCATGGGAAAAGAGGGAGTGTACTATTTGCACGGAGATGCAGCGGATTATGCATGACAAGTACGCGCCTCAAGGATCTGTAGAGCCGATCCCACCTGTCATTATCCACGGCCCTACTAGCTGGGAGCAACATCTCCGATCTAAGCAGCATCGAAAGATGAGGACTTGTAAGGCAGAAATGGAGCGCGACGGCCCCAATTGGTGGTATTTCAAAGCGCAAGAGTACAAGAAGCGAAAACGGGAAGGGACCCTTAACAGCGAGGCCGAGACAGTTGCGTTTAACCATAGCAATGACAATGCCGATAATAATGAAAGCAATAGCGGCCATAACAGTAGCGATAGTGAGGGCAGTGACAACCCAAGAAAAATGCGGCGGACTGATATAGCCATAGAGGCAGCTGAACCCGTGTAAAAGAAAGAAATAAAAATAAAAATAAAATAAAAAATGTGTTTCCTCCATCGGTGAAAAGAGATATTATCAAGGCGCTTGTTGCCTTGCAAATACATCATTCTGATGCGGTTAATGATGTGAATTAACTGTTTGCACGCAACTTTCGGCAGCAGCCATTGACTGCTTTTTGTACGCTAGATAGGTATTAAAATAAGGATACCATAGTACAACAGTTGGCTTGATCGTTTATCCTGTCCTCGCGCCATTGGGGTAAAATAAAGTGGAATAAGGAAGTAATCCGAATGTCACATGTTTCAATAGAGGGTTTGAGATTGCAGTGTGCGGTGTTGGTTGAAAATAAATAGAACCAATTCAAAGCTTCACGGGGTCCCTGGCTCGGGGCTAGCATGGAGCCCTGCAGTTCCTCCTTTCCCTCATTCTCTTACAGCTTCGCACGCTGATAATTTTTGTAGATGGGGTCCCAGATATGTTTGAAAATGTAAAGTCGAATAGAGCATCCATTTATAGTTTGCGAAAGAACAATTTATCATACTCTATCCCTCCCTTCCCCCCCCCCCCTTTACCACCCACAGCTCAAACATACTCCTTCACCCCACGGCACATACAAAGAGAGGATGCGATCCAGGTACTTAATGGCAGAGGGGCACAGTAAGAGTGAGGCCGACATCCTGACAAGCAACGACAACGAATATTCAATTCAGATGATTTTGGTACAGTCCACGAATGTAATACAGAAGGGAATCAAAGTATGCTGGACTAGAATTGTGTCCAGATGGATAGATTCAAATCAATCAAGCAGCTTTATTTCCTACCGTCAGGTACAACCGGTACAAGATAGAATAAGACTACAAAATCAACATGTACAGCAACTAAAGCCATGAAATCACGTTCTTTTATACAAAAAAAAAAAAAAAAAAAAAAAAAATTGATTTTCAAGAGTTCAGTTCAAAAGCGCCTCACGTTGAAATCGATCCATGACCATAAGACGCTAAAGCAGCTGGCGAATAAGTCTAGTTGGCTGGCTCAAAACTCCACTCTGATTCAGGCCTTCGCTGCATCACAACAACGCGAGGTGGGTAAATAAGCAGCATGGACAAATCGAGATTCGTCTTATCAGAGCCACTAGGGTGAGGTGAGTAGGGAAATGTTTGGTTTAAAAGGAGGTGGCGAAGACTTTGATGAGTTTTGAGAGAAGTAGTAGGGCGATTATGGGCTTTTTATACAATTTCTTGCCCAACGAAGAACTCTAAATAGATGATCCTTTGTTGCGCTGAGATCCCAAAAAAAAAAAAAAAAAAAAAATGAAAAAAAGGCTCTTTGACTCCCTGCTAGAAATAAGGTTTCACGTAAGGAAAACGGAATATTTTATTTCAGAGATGCAAGAGTATCTTTTTCTGCTAATTGCTAGTAGAAGTCTCCTTCATAACGCCAAAAGTGCCTGCTAAAAAAAAAGAATTTAAGTGACATCGAGACTGGGTTTAGGATATTCAAACTTTGAAGGAAAACCTCATTGAGATCCATGAAAAGCCTACTATATGGAAAACAGAACCCTATCCTGTCCTACTGACTGACAATTGCGGCCACTGAAATTGGCTGGCTGGCACCTGTTCCTCTAGCACTTCCTTTATTAGAGTATACATCTGTGTTTTCAGCAAAATACACGTGCCCCCTTCAATACAAAACAATGCTATTATTTGCAGGGAATAGAAAAAGTCCCCTATTACCCTGGGTTCCTTGTTACAATCTCAGCACGAAAAATATTACCATTAATAAACTTGCATGGAAAATCAACCAAACTCCCTCACTTTGCGTTTGTACTCCAGGCTATGATGGTTGGGCTTGAACGAATGTCAAGGTACTCTAGCTTCTCATGCACTCACAGTACCTTGGGGATGAATAAATTCTAAAACATATTCATGACCACTTGATTTCATACTTTAAACCTCAGTATTTATCCAGCAAGTTGTCATTCCAATGGATGCTTTTTCAAGCTTTTATGAGTTATCAAGACAGTGGGCATTTTAATTCACATCGTTCAGATGAGTTTCAACCGCCCTTTTACTGTACTATCAAACGTCATGATTAGCAGGCATTTGTGAGACTTAAGATTTTTACTCTTTTTATTTAACGAAGATCGCTGGATTATAGTAAACACATCTTTCTTTCGTTCTTGCTACACACTATGGTCCTGGGGTATTTCACCAAGTTCTGAGATGAAGATCTTATGATGCAGACAGATCAAGTAGTATCTATTGCAGTCAACTGAGAGATTGATTGATTGTCCATTTCTATTGGGTATATAGCTTGTATGATAGGTGTATAGCCCACATGAATGGTAATGAGCCGAGATTCACTACGCTGATGATGAGTGTAGTAGCATGGGCTTCTTATTCTGAGGAGGAGCCGAACGGACTTCTGAAATTGCTCCGCCCAATCTCAGTGAGATTCAGAGGCTGGTTGGACTTTAGAATATATATATATATATATATATATATACGTATATATACTCTGAATTGAACCGCACATTGCATCCTTAATTTTATCCATTGCTGTTTTGTTAAACGACGATATATATAAATGTTGTAGCTTCCAAGGTAAAGGCTAGGGTTAGTCTGAATGAAATGATAAATGCACAGTTTTATCCAGACAAAGATTGAATATCCGATATAGGCAGGAAAAAGAAGGAAAAAAAAAAAAATGGAAGCACGGAAGCTGCTGCGATATCACCTCCTCAACTTGACCGAGCTCTGAGGTTGCTTCAGTGGTATATAGATAGTATGTGGAATATAGTATATATATGATATAGAGCCTCATTTCCACACTGACAGCTCTAATTAGCTTCACTTGAATAAAGCATCCCCCTAATCAATACCTTGGATTCTTACTTTTGGGTCTTTCAATTTTGACATTTCATGTAGTGATAGATGTAGAGAGAGAGACTGTGTGTGTGTGTGTGTGTGAATGAATGGGTGAGAGAGAGGAGCCACTGACATCGATTTCCGTCAAGTGAAGTAAAGGCGACTGCACCGCTTGGTATGATGAGGTATTTGTCTACCAGAGTGGGTATCAGCCTCCAGGACTATTAGCTTGAATAAGAAAAAAGCTGCTGTGTGATCTGCATGCGCAAGAGTCCCGATAGCCACACACTGCGTGGCTTGCTGCATTACGCAACCAATTTCCTTTGATGTTTGATTGATTACATAATCAAATAAAATAAAAAAACAAATGCATCCTATCCGTTTTTACGTGACAATGATCAAGAAAATGGCATGTGATTGATTTTCTCACGGTCTTGAATTAAGGAACTCAACTTCCTTTTTCGTTTATTCCAAGCCTTCGTTCATCACCTTTCCTTTCCTTTCCTTTCCTCTCCTTTCCTTTCCTTTCCTTTCCTTTCCTTTCCTTTCCTTTCCTTTCCTTTCCTTTTGCCTTACTCGTTTTTCATTTTCTCCCAGCATTTCAACCATACTCAGTCTTACTTATCTTTATTAACAATGGTCGCCACAAGGAGTTCAACACAAAAAAACATAGCTGCAAATGATTCCACAAGGAGCCAAGCACAAATAAAAATGACTGCAAATAAGCCTGAGGATGCCTCCACACTCAATAAACGAAAAAGAGAAAACCAACACCCACAACGAAAAAAGCGCGCCATCTCACCGCTGCTGGAGCTGAACTGCGTTATCGATCCAAGCATGAGTAGCACAGGCCGCCCTGATGCTCTTATGGATGCGATAACAGAAGCAGGGCTTGTAACGAAAGGGATAGTGAATGGTTACCCTGCCATCTCGCCTCTCAACTCAAAAGAGAGGATCAAGGTGCTTTCGTACATGGGGGAGGCATCAGTAGATAGTGATTACTACAACATTAGTGACGTGGCTCGTGAGCTCCGAAATTCTGGTGAAGGTATCAAGGATTCCAAAATATTGACTGCCCCTGAGGGTCGTACCTTCCCTATTGTTAATACACGGCATCTTTATATCAGAGAAGAATATAAAGAGCTTTATGACCATATTACAGCCGAACTCAGTACCCCTTATGAAGTATCTCGTTTGAATCGACTCTTTGTCACTGGAACACCTGGAATTGGGAAGTCAGCCTTTTTGGTCTATTTTGCCATCCGCCTCCTTGCCGAACACGATGAGGAAAACCCACCGATTATTATTTTCCAAGAGAAGAAGAGTACTAGATGCTATGCTTATGGAGGAACAACTTGCCAAAGTTATGGAAATATAGAAACGTTCAAAAAATTCCTTGATCAACCTGAAACGTGGTACTTAGTTGATAGTGGTGACAATCCTCAACCAGATCAAGCCAGGACGATATTTACGGCATCACCAAGAGCTCTCAGTGAACAGTACGGTGAATTCGTCAGGGGTACTACACTATCTAGCTACTATCACATGTCACTCTGGAGTTTGGACGAGCTTAAGGAATGTAGAGCCAATGTAGAGGATTATCATTCAGTGGATCAAGAATTTTTGGAGGAGCTTTTTTGCAACTTGGGGGGTGTGCCGAGACAGGTCCTACAGGGTCCATCTGATGTACTATCTGAATATCAAGAAGATATTGACTGTGCTAGGAAAGCTGCGTTTCAGTGTGTCAATGCTGCCATTGGCCTACTCAAGTTCCCAAGAAATCTTTCAAACCTCTTTATTCCAGGAGATAAAGCGGGTAGTCATTTACTCCATAGAGTCCCCACTTCTGACCACCTCCGCTTCCACCTGGTATGGGCATCTCCTTATGTTCGATCACGTATCATCATGGAATTACAAGATCAGACTTGGATCGACGAGTTGAAGCGACTTGCCAAAGCTGGCAGTGAAATAAAAAAAGGACCTTCGTTTGAACTCTATGTTCACTATTTAATTCGATGTGGTGGACTTCGGTTTCCATTTAAGGATCTTCAGTCAGACGAAACAGGATTCTTTGATCTTCCGAGGGACTCGGAAGTATTATTTACCAAGACTGCAGCAGATTTTTCAACATTCTCCAAAACAACAGACAAGTTGTTTCTACCATCTTTACCCAACTTTCCGTGCATCGATTTTGCATTGGGACCCAACAAGCTATTTCAGGTCACAGTATCAGAGAATCATCCGATCAAGCAAGCACCATTTAAGGATATAATTGATTATATTACTGGACCCTGCTCGAAGGGAAACCGATCAAAGTCGAATGGAAGTGATGATACCATTTTCCTCTACTTTGTGGTACCAGGATACATATATGACAATTTTAAGGCTCAAAGGTTTGTTACCAACGATGGTCAGGATGCCAAGGCAATACCTGAATGCTTGAAACATGTAAGACAGCGTGTCATAAAAATCGACATCGATGCTGCATATTCAGTAGGAGCAGCCGGTACGAATCTGAAGAATTAAATCGAATACCAATCAAGTGGATGAAATTTGTGTTGTAAAAGAAAAGCATTATACCTGTTCCTTGAGGGTTTTTTTACAATAGTACATCCTTTATGAATGAAGCCATCATTATCCACTTACCCTTTAGACAAAGGGGATGGCGCCTTTTAATCGGTCCTACACACACACTTATTGAGGGCCTGTCATAACTGTTGTTGCATATTTGGTTTAACTGCATATTTGATCACACGAACAAAAGGATAAATGCAGCCCACATAAATAGGATCTTAATTTTATATATAGAAAATGAATGAATAAATACTCGGATAATGTGGTGCTTGCAATGGTTTAACTTAATTGACATTGTTTACACATGATCTCTGTCACTCCACTCAGGAAATTAAAACAAAACCTGTGAAGAAAAAATAAACCTCAACGCGCAGATTGTTACTTTTGCCAGAGGAAAATGTCCCACGATATAGTAAAAACCTCTGTGATACTCTTATGAGCGTTATGATCCCATTCTCTTGGATCGTGTTATTCGTCTATTTTCCGAGTTGGCTTTATCAGATAGTTGTATCTTTTTTTGACTTATTAACCTCTGATGTTCTTCATGATGCATCGTACTGGAATTTTTTCAATTAAAAAAGAGACCTCCACCAAAGTATCAAGTTTGTTCCCAGCCTGAGAGAGAAGTGTCTGCAAGAGCAAGCCACATTTGCCTTTCAGCACGTGCATGTGCATATGAACTTCGTCCTCAGGCTGGTGACCATATCATTATTCTTGTCTCATCGACCATGGAGAATACATCCTATCCGTAACTCTTCTCGCCACCCGCAACAGTTGCGTGAGAAAGGCAAAGCGTTAGGTGCCGGGGCTATCCTTCGGGAAAGCCACAAGTTGTGAAGGAAGGCTTTCCCGATTCTATCGGGTGCATCAGCGGGAAGAAATACTGAGATGTTTTATGGATTCGAGGTCAAAGAGATCAAAGGATGTTCTTATTATTGTCACCAGCCTAGAGTCTTTTGTTCTGACCTTAGGGATAAAGATGAAAGTGTCTTTGAATGTACTCCCAAGCCTCAGTACGAATACCCATCAAACACTTCTAGATATTTCTAAAACTACCTTTATTGCAGTATATATAGTCGATTCTAGATAAGAAGAACAATAGCTTAATTCAAGTATCCTAAAACCCTTACAGTATGGCTTATCGAAGACCTGTGTCCCCCCATGCAAGACTATTGCAGCAAACAAAATTGAAAGCAAGGAAATCAATTTTTGTGTTGCTAAAGGCCGTATCAGGATCGATAACTGCATCGGGACTTCAAGATCCCGATGCAGGGTCAAAGCACATGTGCTCCAGGCAAACAGCTATGCAAACATTTTGGAATATTGTGCGGTCTCAAGGGCTTTGTGTCAAAACAGAATCAACTCACAGAAAAAGGAAGATGTATTGAAGGTTTGCAAATGACAAATGTTGATCCTTGTCGCAACAAGAATAGGCTTGTCAACGTCATGGGCGAAGACGACGCCGATTATTTCGGTCACCATCGTTCTCCTCGAACTTTGATTGTTACGAAACCGAAAATGAAAAGATTTCTATTCTGAAAGCTGTGATCATAGGCAGAGGATTGTTCACGAGATTTTTTTTCTGGACATTAGTCATTCTAACTGCAATGGTTCCCGTGCTTGAAGAAAAACCTAAAAAAAAAAAAAAAAAAAAAAGTGATTGAAAATGATTTTGCGTTTGGAATGTTTCCGCCAAGAACCCATGGGCCCAGTTCTTGAATTGAAGCTATATGGAAGTTGAATGGGACACGTTATAAGAGTAAGTTTATGAAACTCCATATGAAAAAAGATGTATGTGAGGATAATATGAGAGGAATTTATTCCCTCCTCCTTGCGGTATCTGGCCACATAATCCAGTCATCCTTCATGTCATACAACGCTTGCAAAAACACGACCGGCATAAAGCGCTGTCGCCCCAATACTGATTCCAATGATTGCTTGCATCTTTGAAACACTCACTCCAGTGCCATTTACGCCAAGCCGGGTCAGGGCAACTGCCAATTGCCAAGGCTTGAGGATACATTGAAGAGTTGCACGAAATAGCGTGGTTTTCAATTATCTCCAGAAGAGCTAAGAAATCCGTTCGTGTTGTCTTGAACATCGAACGAAACTCACTCTCTGGAAAATTAGGGAGTCTTTCTAAAGGGACATGATTAAGTCATTTTCTTATCACACATTTACAGGAATGAACCGCGAATCTAATAAAAAGTCATACAATTCCTTCAATCCTTCAAGATCATTACTTGTACTATCACTCTCAGCAAGAGTGAGAAGAAGGGCATGTTCCAATGCCTCAGGGTTTTTTGGAGCTCAGAAACAAGTGGCATTGTTGGAACAAGTTTTGGTTTGCGTTCAAAGGGATGGAGGGAATGTTTGGAGAACTAAAGGTGAAAGGGGCAAAAGGTTGTGACAAAAAAAAAAAAAAAAAAAATACGCCATCAAACATAAAAATATAAATGCTAAATTTGAGTCATTAAGAACATTGATAAGGCCAGGATCGGAAGGGATTCAATGGAAACTATCCTGATCAGATTCGTCTATTAGCAGCATTTATTTTATTAAACAACAAGGTATAACGGTCCTTATTGTTGGAAAGGAGGGGATAACAGCAATATTTGAACGGCTGCCATGGGACATCCATAGGAGATTACTACCTTATGATTAAGAAGTAAGCATTAGATTTTTTTTTTTTTTTTTTTTTTTTTTTTTACAATAGAAAAATAAAAAGCAAAGTAAAGAAAGCACAAATTATTAAGAAGTAAGGTAATTAAAAAAAAGAGTAAAAGTAAAAAAGTAAGGCTTTTTCAATCCTTCCATTAATATTTCCTGGACTGATTTTGAGAGTGCTGTAATGTGGAGTATCCAAACACTTGTTCCATAAACTGCTGGAACGTCCACTTCTCCACCTTATGCCGCTTTACAATCTGCTCAATTGCCGACAACCGTTGCTTGAATGGATGTGCACTATGAGTCATGGCTAACATAGAGGCAGAGAATGTTGATGACATTGTCGTATTAGCATTGGTGTTGGTAGACCCCGACACACCTTGCTGACCTGTTAATGAGGATGGTTGCTGCTGAGGTTGCGCCAATATGCTGGTGAGCGTCGTCATTGATCCTCCTGCTCCTCCTGTTGATGACCCAATAGCACCATACATAGACAAACTATTGATGCCTGACTGCGAGCCATTATTATTGTTAGCCGCTCCACTCGCTTGGCTTCCTTGGTCTTGGTTAGATGATCCGCTGTTGTTCCGACTAACTCCGTCATTAATACTTCCAGAATTACTAACAAGTGATGATACAGACGCTGCTTTGGGTCCACTTCCAACATTTCCCAGAGTACTGGTACTGGCACTGGCTGTCAGATGACCACCTGCTACCAGAGTGTCGCTAATTGTTCCAGAACTAGGACTTGTGCCCGAGACAGGCGTGACAGTTACTGCGGCCAGCAAGTTCGTTGATGACCCAGTCATGGCCCCTGCACCACTACTTGACGAAACTCCAACCGTATTCTGGGCACCCCCAACCGCAGTCCCACTTCCGCTGCCGTGTTGCACAGAAGGGGTTCCCACATGAGTAAAAGGGCTCGAAAGATAATACTGATGTCCATGTATTGCTGCATTAATCTGCGAACTTGAAATGGGTTGTGAATGGTACCCACGCTGACCTGACACACTTACCCCACTGGGGCCAGAACCTATACCTCCAGTATTTCCGAAACTCGTGTTGTTGTTATTGACTCCTGAATTTGATCCGACTGCACTTCCAAAGGTACTTCCAGGCCCTGTATATGGTGCTGACATAGGCGTTGGAGGGAGCGGTGGTGGCGCTGTAGCCAACCTGGCCGCATGAATTGCAGTCTGGCGAACCAATCGTCCTAATTGAGCCATGGGTACAACCATACCATCGACTAGCGGTCCAAATACTGGGAGATTTGTATCACGGATGACCTCAACAGACACAAGGCCAGAGCCCTCATGTTTGGCGGACGGGCGATGGATTGTCAGCACTCCTTGGTCGACCTGAATATCCGGAATAGGTGTCAATACAATGACTACGTTTCCAAAGTCGCCGCCAATGGTACTACGGTCGTAAGGCCTGGAATGCTCCGACCAAACAATATGGACATGATCATTACCAACATGCCGTTTCTTCTTGACTTGTCTAGGATCATTGGGATCTGTTGGCATCCGAACTACCTCGTGGAAGAGTACCTCGAGCGTTGAAGAGCAGTAGTACATTGCTGTACGCCCGTTAGACCCATTACGTTCCAAGCCGCCCATGTAACCATTATGTTCGGCCAAATCCACTTCCCAGCCCAAATCGTGGACGAATCGGTCATAAGCTGTGCTGCCCTTAGAGTTGTGTAGAATCATCTTTTCACCTTCCTGACCTGCTGCCACATACAGAATAGCGATCTTGAAAGTCTCGCGTCTACATAGTAAAAAAAAAAAAAAAAAAAAAAAAAATGTTTAGTCCTAGTAAAACCACTCGGTTCAATTAACTGCTCAATATTCGTTTAGGTTCCTACATACCCAGATTTCTTGTCAAGGCTTATTAGATCCCTGTTAAGCGATGCGGTTTGGTTTAGTAACACGAAATTATGTTCTTGGAACCTGTCAAAACATAGGAGTCCTAAATGGCTCAGTAACAAACGGCTATGCTGATAACTATCGAGTGGTCGCTCCGGTTCCGGCGGAAGAACAAGTTGAAATGCCTTCGCCATGTTGGTAGCATCCTCCTTGAGCAATCCTGCTGCGAGCACATCCTTTTCATTGCTCTTGAGAGCACCATCTAGTTCTAAGGCCGTGGTGGCACCAGCTTGAAGATCCTGTAGGCTATTTTGGCTGATACGCCGTCCTGAATAGCGCTTCGCACGATTGTAAAGCTCATTATGTGACAAAGGGATGCCATTATCTATTTGTCTTAGTGACACATCCGTATTTCCAGAGTCTTCTTGTTTTATCTGGCTATCCCCTCTTTTGGACTCTGAGCTGGAGTTGATGACCAAGGCCATGAGTGTGTTACTGTGCTCCTCTATGTCATCATCTGTTTGAATTAGGCTGGATCGCAGTTCTAATAACTTGTCGTACCATGCACGTGCCTGTGGATCTGAGATCCGGGTATAATAGTTTTCTTCCTGAACATGTCTGTTCAGCTCGAAATCAATGGTTGATCTCTTGCGACCGCCTGGACTGACAGTGCTGCCATTAAACCCATGGCCATTATTGCTACTGCTATTCATATGGCTGCCTATGCCATTACCAAAATAATTATCAGTATTTCCTGACTCTGTCGATAGAGTCATACCGTTATTGAGTCGATTCAGGGGTGTTTTGCCATCAAACAGACAATCTGGGTGCATATCACCAATATAACATAGGAGTCGATCCAACATATCGCCATCACTTCTAGAAGACGCGCCTCCATCCCAGAGCAAAGACTCAAGGCTAGGAGGATGGTACGCTTCTGGAGAGGTAGCGGCAGAAGAAGGTATGATCGATGCAGAATTGCTGACTCGTGATGCACTATGGACTTCATCTTCACGTATCTTGATCCCTTCACGCCAAACCAACTGACTGGCCATTTCCTTCTTGCGTCTCCTTGGACTTGATCCAAATCGTTCACTCAGCCGCGACCCCGTCCGCTGTACAGATCGAGGCCTATTGCTTTCTTCAATCTCAAGCATCTCCTTGTAAAATATTTCAGAGTCCCATGCGTAACGCCCTGTTTCATCTCGAATAATTACGCGAGTTCGATGAAGCCCCATTGGCCCTACTGGAGGGATTTCCTCGAGTGTTATCAAGATCGAGTCATTTAGTGCAAAGATCCTCTGGGTCTCCAGCTCGCTATCCCTCTTGCTGTTAGGGCTGTTATTGTTATTATGTCGGATGCCGTTCAGCTCGCCTTTACCACTTGTCTTATCCAAACCCATGGCTATGGCAGGACGCTCAGATCCAGTATGGGATGAAAAGTTGTTCATGAAATGAATTAAATGTATCAAAGTAGCCTCTGCAGCTTCCTTAACAACCAGCTGTTCTGCCTCGACGTCATATGCAGGTCCAGCGTTGACCATGACGCGATGGTGATGGTGAATTGTCTTCCCAGTGTACTTGAAGCTGGGACCTCGCTTCCGTTGCTGCGATTGCCTTTGGTGATAGTACTGTTGGCTATGCTCGTTTTGCTGATACTGCTGTTTTGCAGCCTGGAGAGCACGTTTTCGATCATTCTCTCCGGTCGAATCAGGTCCACACAAAAGTCCAGTTTCAATTAATTCAAATGCCCACTTGGAGAGTTCTGTCTCTGAGAAGGCTCTGGCTGGAATAACCATAAGCCATTCGATGAGGCAGCGGTAAAAAGTTGCAATCGTTGCTCCACGTCGAGCATCGCTCTGGAATAACTTAAGATGCTCTTGCATTGCACTCAAAAGATGAGAGAGCACCATTTCGAGAATAATCTGAAGGGTAGGTCCAGTGTGTGAAACAATGTAAAATAAATAAATAAAAAATGAATACAATCATTGCAGGAACTTATTAAACAAAAAACATATCTGCATAAAGTAAGTTTTCCTGAATGCTTACCCAGCCGTTGTCTTCATGATCTTGATACATGCCTGCTAGAGTGGTGATTACTTCAACAGCACTCTGTACAATGCTCGCTTCGGTCCAGTACAAATGATCCAAGACCAATGATAAAAGATCGCTCTCTGCACTGATATCACATGTGGCTAAACTGGAGCTCCACTCATTAATGACTAACATGCCGCATAGTTGAATCAGCATGCTATGTGTGTCCCAGAACTTGGTCAAGGGTTTGACATTGGCTTCCGCCAAAGTCAAATCAAGGACCAGGCGTGTAAATGTCAGTTTATGAGCCAAAAGGTCAGTTGTTTTGTTGGATGAAAGCGAAGCGGACGCATTGTTGTGCAGTGGCCCTTGTTTCTGCTGATCGTCACTATTATCTTTACTGTGTTCATTAGCATTCTGATACCCGAAATCGTAAAACAACATGCTGACAGAACAGAGAATGGCGATAGCCTGCTTCCGGATGAAATGATTAACGCCATCCCGTAAGTGTTCGTCCTTAAGGAGCTATTTCAATTGAAACAAAACAAAACAAAACAAAAAAAAAAAAAAAAAAAAAAAAAAAAAAACTTATCAATAATTAAGTGATTGTAAAACACAATTCATTAAGCAATAACAAGCAGTAATGTTTTACCATTTGACGGATGGCTGTCAAGAAGGGAAGGACAAGGATATGGCTTCCAGGAAGGGACAGTGTGAAAAGCCGACTACTGTTTGCAAGAATCGAATGCACGATCATAGAATCATCAAGTTTCAGTCCCTAATTCATGATTTTTTGACGTTCAAATATGTTACAAGATATGGTTAGTTGTTAATTATTAGGACAGATTTCTTCAAACAGGATCTAAGAACCAAAATCTCATAAATGACGCACCTGAATGACACTGTTATAGAACAACTGATAGTACTCAGGGTCAAAGTCCTGATCGTAACGACGACTCATCATTCGACAGAGTCCACCATAGATGGCAGGCAACCCAACACCACCATCACTGGTGCTGTTAGCCGCCTCAAAGAACCAAGGCGCGAAATCATATAATGGTGGAATCACCGTTGCATCCAGCGGCTGTGAGGTCCTTATCTGATTCAACAAGTCCCAAATATCGAAGAGACATAACATAACTTCTGTTTTGACCAATGGGATCTAAAAGACAGCAATATCAAGAAATTAGCGACCTATCCATTATCGAAAACGCATCAGATCACCCTGCATATAATCATGTTTTTTCGATATTTAATGTAACTATGTACCTGAATTTCGTTGGGGTTCCCAATTGAACAAACGATGTTCTTCCAAACCGACAAAATGTTCTCGGGAGAACGACCTTTCATAGAGATATTGACGAAATCTGGTGCTGCAAAGGTTCCATACAAGGGAGACAGCCGTTCCACGATCGGATCCATATGTAGGCTGTCTGGTCCATGAAATAATAATGAGGGCGTACGGTGGAGCTAAGGCAAAATATTTTCCAACAAAAAAAAATAAATAAATAAATATAAGGGTATGTTCTCTATAGAAGCATGTAATATGCAAAACATGTGTAAAAAAAAAGATTAAAGCAACCCACCTTTTCATCGCTTGTATCCAACACATCACCTAACGTAGAGATATGGGACCCAGCATTATCATATAGGTCTTCATCCTCTACCTCTCCAACATCTACTGCTGTTGCTCTGACACTCGAATGAAACTCACGTCCCACTCCTTGATCCCGATTTGACAAGAAACTATGTCCTAAAAGAGTAGGAGTATATGTTGTTCCACTCGTATTTGTGTTCGGTCCACCTTGCTTCGCAGGGTCATATTGAACACTGTTTGCACGACGAGACGATGCTCGTTCTTGTGCATTCAGGGTCAAGAGTGGATATGCCTGATGGGTATAAGGAATACCTTGAGAGGATAGCAATTCGCCCCCAATTGAGTGACGCATTGGATTTTCAGTCTTGGACGTAAAGTAGCGCGAATGTCGGAATTTGTCAGACATTTTGCGAGCGTGTCGAGTGGCGGAGGCTTGAACAGGACGTGTAGCTTGAGCTTCCAGATCAACTTGATAGACCTCGTTTGAGAGGATATTCGTCAATCGGACCGACCATTTCTATAACATTCATAGATCAAAGATCCGTCAGTAAAAGAAGATACTATATTTCAAACTGCAAGCTGAAGAGCTTTAGGACTTGTACGTACAACCCATTGTGAGACAGTCTGTGAAAATCGCAAACTTTCGGTAACGGTTTTTCTTAATGCAATCCACTGCGCATCCGTCACGTTGGGACATCTCGAATAAGCACACAGCACGGTCTATGGAGACAAGGAAAGTAGGCAATACGTTTAGCCATATAATTCTGTTTACGGAACTCCTTATCAATGTCATCGCAATCTTCTCGATACGATTAGCCAGTACCTCGATAATAAAGGATAGCAATTCATCAATAGACGAGGACATAACAGAGGATAGTTTATCATACATGCTGATAATTCTTCTCTGAATCTCCAAGAGTGATCCTAACAAGATCTCCCAGCTTTTCGCGTCCATCTCTATCTGACAGCGAGCCAAGATTGCTCTAAAAAGGCCGACAATGTCTTTGTAGAGATGAAACAAAGCATCGGAATCCAGTTTGACTTGATTACCAGTCGTTCCAAGCGCCTCAGATGAAGAGTTTGAGCTCAGATCATTAAACGTCACTGGATTCTCTGCAAACACATTTGTCAGCATCTGAAAGTACCGTTGAAGGAAAGAGTTGGAGGTGGAAAAGTGCTCTGTAGGCGACGTAGTAGGAGTCTGTTGTTGTGATCCTGACTGTGATCCTCCCGACTCTTGACTTCCCAGAGAGGCTAGCGAGACGCTCGAAGGAACCTGTGATCTATTTGGGGCGGAGCTTCGTAGAAAAGCTGGGCGCTCTTGCTCACCACTTAGACACCAGACACCCATAATATGGATTGCTCCACGCACAATGTCCTTATACTGTGGATGACCTGCTGGAAGACTAAGACCCTGGCGAACTATCTCATGCATGATTTCGCGATTAGCCTCGGACGAATAGACGATTTTTTTCAGAATGGGGATAGCAGGGGATGTAGGACCCTGCCGTGAGTTGAATTCGTTACTGTCAAGACAGTATTGAATAACAAAGCTAATGATGGTCCTGAGGATTGTTGGGGGGCATGTTTTGTATCCAAATTCTATTCACAGCAGAATGCGGAAGAAAAAAAAAAAAAGATAAGAGACAAGAGTGGTTAATCTTCACTTCATTCGTTGCTTTGCAATTTTTCTTCTCCTTGGAAATACCTTTTTCATCTTTGATGAGCTGTAGGTTTCGAGCACACTCTGGAAACAGCTTGACGAGGTAGTATTTTTTGATGATGTCAAACATGAACCTGGCCGCGGCTAATCCTGCATCTAATCCAAAGCCTACAGCGATACCATCTCCGGTCTTGCCATCTACTTCGAGTGGGTGGTGAGAACTAATAGATTCAAGTTCTCCAGGCGGAGGTGTAGATCCTGCACCCACATAGGCCATGCGGACAATATTTCCCAAAAAGATCTGAAAGAGTTGAATGCTGTCCTGAAACGTAGGCGGGAATGGATTAGGACAAATGGGTGGTCCGTCGGCTAGTAAGTAATATGAAAGTATTAAGGAGGAACCCAAATGTTTTTGTTGAGAACCCACCCTTTGAACTGATAATGAAAGAGTAGTAAAATAATAAAGTAGGCCTACTATTCAAATCTTTAAAAAAAAAAAAAAAAAAAAAAAAATACAGCCGAAGGGATTTTGAAGAACATACACTGCAACAACTCTTGGTTCAGATTCACATAAGTCAGTTCCAAATATTGTGAAACCTGCTTTGCTGCTCTACGTCCTGCGCTTCCGGTGTTGATGTGAGGCAACTTTGTTTGAGATGACATTGCATGATCCACTGATATATCCTCACCATCATACATGAATAAATCAAGTGAAATAGCATTGGAGAATAAGTATATTGCCTCGGGGCATTCAACTGTCTGGTCATTGATCCAAAGAAGAAGTAGGCGGAATCCAAAGATACGAATTCGAGGATGATTTTTGTGGCAAAGTACTTGTGCCAATATGTTGGCTAAAGTTCATATATAAACCATTTCATTTCATTTTTTTTTTTTTTTTTTTTTAACAGTTGAAGTGAAGAAAAAAGGTAAGTGAGCCGGAATATTACGACGACAAACAACAGTAACCTAATTCTATAGGGTGGTTTATTACCAATAGGTCTTTTGTGCCATCCATTCTTTATCTTGTCTGGCAGGTACAGAAAGATGAGGCGAAGTAGGAGTAACGTCTTTTGTATTGCGATCACTTCTTTGCTCTGTAATGTGTTGTTACGATCAGGCCTCTGTTTGAATTTGTTGATCTGGTGCCAAAAAGTATCGTGTGTAACTGCAAAGACTTGATCTGCATGCTCTTGAAAAAACTTTGCCTGGTCAAACTCGAAAGTCACATCTTAATGAATGAAAGAGGGTAATTGCATGGAAATACAGTATTAATAAATTAGCTCCATGTACTCCTTTTCTGAGCACCTATTTTTGTTTTACCCTCAATTAAGTATAACAAAAACTACGTCCACAATGCCATTCGTTTTGTGCTCACTATTTTTACCTAAGAAAGACCAGAGGGATGCGGCACGCGCTTTTGGTTTGGCTTTTTCATCGAAAAACACTTTGGTTTTCTTGAGCGTCTTTTCAACAACTGATGATCCAGTGCTAATTATACTCCCTTTGCCTTCCCTATGTCCAGATTCATGGTAACTGTCACGATAGTTTTGGTTGATTGAGGAAGAAGACGAGCCCACTCCAAAATGAGATGACAACCCCGTATGAAACGCTGTAGCTGTGTGGGGTGGTGCCGCAAATGATCCGGATCCAGATGATTCTTCGGATACATGAGTAATCATCCCGCCTGGATGTGTTTTTCGAGATCGATTCGATCGTCCTGAATTAAAATTAATCTTATTCTCATGCGGAAGAAAACTGCTGGTGCTGTTATTGCCGTTACCGCCGCCACTTATGTTGGAAGAGGCCAGATGCTCCTGACTAGCAGAGGAATGGTAGTTGTAGAGCGAACCTGAATTGGCATGAACAGAGCTGGACAGCCCGAACGTGAAGGATTTATGGCTATCAGGGGTGGAGGGTATGTCAATGACTGTAGACTTGCGCCGTGAAGAAAGTAAAGGGGAAAATGCTTGGGCCCATCGGTTGAGACCTGTGCTTGAGGTCTGGAGTGGGGTGACAGGAGGATGATTACTAGTATGGTGATGACGAGTTGAATGAACCATGCTTTGAGCCGATGAAGAAGTGAAAATAGGAGTAGGAACAATAGTTGTGCCCGCGCTTGTATTCGCACTGGTATTAAGACTCATGGTCGAATTGTTCGCAGGTGTGATGGTGCCTGAAGTGTGTGATGTGGCAAATGAGCTAACGGGAAGCTGAGTCGAAGACTCTGTCAGGGGTAGAGCAACTTTGCTACTATTCCGACTCTGATTGTAGTTCAGTGAGGAGTCGGACCGTTCGCGCACATGGTCGTAGTCATCAAATGGATGTGGGGTGGCGTCAGTTGAGGCATTACCCTGGTCCATGGCCACCAGTGGGACAAATCCAGGTTTAAGAAACTAAAAAATAAGAAAAGGAGAGGGTGATTATGATTTTTTAATGAGATTAGGGTCAATAAAATGGGATAAAAAAAGATAAAGGGATGAGAGGATGAAAAGATGAAAAAGGATGAGAAGGAGAGAGAGGGCGAAAGGATGGATGGAAGAATGAAAGAATGAGATGAAAACAACGATGCAGATTGAAGCATGCTTGTTCCCCTTTCCCCTATTTCTTACTATTGGCTGTGAGAAAAGATGCAGGTTTCAGTTGAATATGTCGTAGATGGTTCTCACTCCACAGGTGCCCCAAGACTTTAAATTCCCAAGACAATTGTCCTTTTGATCAAACATGGCATTTCTTTATACTCACAACAACTCGCATTGTCATCGGTTTCAGTTTATTGTTGCTGTTGCAGAGAACTTGTTATTTTGTCCTGACGAACCCATGCATCAATCCTCTACCCTCATTAAATCAACCACTTTTGTTCACAAGAGTCTGAGCGTGTCCATCAATTCGGGAAATATCCATTTTCGAATATAACTTCAATATCACTTCACCCCCATCCATCCTACTGTCAACGCATGAGTGCTTTTTGTTTATTCCCCGTAGTATCAACTGATCGCGTCCGTCCTTACAGATCTTTTGGCTTTCCTCATGTGGTTCCTATTAGACCTTTTCTGATCTATTAGGTAGTCGTGAAGGAACGATTCAAAGTTGCGACCTTGCTCTTGTTCAGGAAAGACATGTTGACTGCAATAATCCCTAAGAGTCCCTGAATGCGATGTCTGAGCGGTATTTTTCTGATTGGTACTGGAAAGGAAGAGAAAAGCATGGCTGTTCGCTACAGCTAGAAAGACAAATGGCAACTACAAATGGTTACATTTGTTGGTTATGAGCATATGCTATTTGTACTGTTAGGGTCGTCTTTCTATAAACTTGGTATGATCGTCCAATTGCTTACTGTTTACCAATCTGTCTTACCCTCGGTTTAGAATCCTCAAATGATGTCGCCATATGTTATTATCGTGTAGACCTGTAAACAATCAACGTTCGATGTCTTCCTTTTGAGTTTGAACATGTCTTTTTAATGATACTGTGTATCGTCAATTGACAATCAAATAAACCTGGAGGGGTACTAAAGCCTAACATCAAATCTTATCTGAATACCGTGCACAAATCTACAATTGATTGCTCACCTGCACTCCTATTAATTGAAGCGCTATCATAAACTAAAGCAGACGGCGGTGCTTCAGGGGAAGTGAACAAGAAAAGTGAGAAAGAGAAGAATGCCCCTACTTCCTCTCAACAAAGTCAGTCACCGCGTCATGACCGAAGGCGAAGCGGTGTGGAAGAGATATCTGTCCATGTTACACAAACTTTGTTTTCTACCATGAACATGTCACACTAACATTCAGCCCAGACTTCATTTCCTCTTCTGAGTAACATTACAAAAAAATAAAAAAAAAAAACTTGGTCAGCCTTGAAGTTGTCTGTTTTATGATGCATCCTTTTTGTAGTATTCATATGGAAGACACCCATACCTGGAGCTCAATTTAATACTTTAATATTTTAACGCACAAACCTCCTTCTATTAATGACAAAGCAAACACTACAAAGTTATTTATTCTAATGAGTTTTACGTCTCTTTTTCTCTGGATATACAAATTAAAAAAGAAAAAAAAAAAGACTAAATTACAAAAACGTATGAAGTGAGCCAAGAAAATAAGTAAGCATATCAAATCCTTATAGAGTACTGATCGTTATTGGGTGCAATCGCTGGTACTGCTGGCGCTGCTGGCGCTGCTGGCAGTGGTGCCGGTGGAGGCACCATTGCGAATTCAGGCTTTCGTGTAGGTGTTGAGGCGATATGAAGTAACGCTTGGAACACTATTCAAAACGTATAATGAATTTTAGAAGTATATTAGCATACTACAAATATTTCAAGCATACCTTTTTCTTTTTCTTTTATAAAAATCTCCTGTTCGACTTTTACCTTGACGACAGATAGGACAGCGTTGAGGGACACGTCGGCGCAGAACCTCGCCACATTCGTTGCAAATGCAAAAGTGTCTGCATGGCAACACTATCGTATCTTTGACATCTGATAAACAAATTACACACTCGGGTGCATCTAGAAGCACCAAATTCTGCTCCTCCTCCTCCTCCTCCTCCTCCTCTTCTTCTTCTTCCTCCTCCTCTTCCTCCTCCTCTTCCTCTTCTTCTTCATTTCCCTCCACCCTCCCTTCCTCCTCGTAGTCACTTATATCATCAACTTCAGTTCCTGATCTTGTCCTCGGCTTGGACGTGCTTCTGGAGTTGAAGGAACCTTCAGATCTCTTACTTATCATCATAGAGCTAGCTGAAGAATGCCTGGCTACAGCAGGTTGTGGCTCCGTAGTTTCTAGATCCGCCTCCATGCTTACCTTGGATGCTCTTTGGCTTTGGGTATCTGAAGCTGGACCTGTCGCTGAAGCTATTGACTGTGTCCTATTTAACGGATCTGTCTTTTCAAGGATCGTCCCCTTACTCTTCATTTTTTTAGGGCGATCCATGGTCAGCTCATCTACTCTATTTGCGATCGACTCTGCGCGGCTCACTCCGGACATGGTTCGTGACAGGCGTTTCTTTTCTGCCTTAATCTTTTCTTCGTGTCTTTGCTTTTGCCGTTGTTTTGCAGATGACTCGGGCTTGGACGAGGCAGAGGTAACAGAGTCTGTGAAGCCATAAATCTCCTGAATCAGATAGTTTGTCGAGTTGATCCAGACTTTCTGTTTCATCACCTTGATCTCAAACCCTCCTTCCGAACTAATGTTAAAACAAGCAAATGTCGAGATGGCTTGGTTCTCAACGAGGTAGAGACCAGGCGAGTCAGCAATCGGTGTTGGAAGGCTACGTGTTGGGCCTATTAGAATGTATACAAAGATTAGTATAGCAAGTATAAGGTTAAATAAACCTATTACGGATATAAAGTCTCCATCCTCATACACATACCAGAGGCTCTGTATTCTTTTGTAGCCTCAATCAAAATGACCAGTGGGAAGTACTGATCTTCCATAATGGGTTTATTCTCGTTATCTAGCCTCGAATGTTTGTAATAGGATCCATAAGACGAATAAGCCCCGCTCTTGACTCTTTCTTTATAAAGTTTACTGTTACTTTTGTTTTTGTTGATCCGTGTGCCATTCGGGATCTCGCCATCATACTCCCCATCTAGCTCTTGTGATTGATACTGTGTTCCATATTTGCTATAACTCTGCCGCTGCCTTTGTTGGTTCCTTTTCTGGAACATACGCATCGACATTGAGGGTAAACCTTGCATTGTCAACTCTGGAAGTGACATGGTATAGAGTGGTAGAATAGGTGAGGTGAAATGCTGGTTCATGCCTGCAGGGAAATGATATGTAGTTGGCTGTGGCAGATGGTGCAATCGTCGCAGTCGGAATCCCAAATCACCATCTTCTTCTAATTCTTTCACAACCCAAAACAATTTAATGTCACATGGTGTCAAACTGTCGAATAGGAAATCAAGGCGATAGTTGGGGCGCATATGGGACGGGGAAGGGACCGAAGGATCGTTGGAGATAGCAAAGTTCTTGACGAGTCGGAGAGTGCTTTTCTTGAGGTTGACGCTGCATGCAAGTGCAGTAGGCGAGCGCATAGTCGGTTGCTAAAAACACAGGTATACACAAGTGAAACATGGGAGCAAGGCAATCAACAACTGAATCTGCAAAAAAAAAAAAAAAAAAAAAAAAAAAAAAAAGAAGAGGCGTAGTGTTGGGCATCAATGCTGTATACCTACCATTTCACGAACAATACCATTCTGCCTGTTATCAATATTTGTATCAGCATTATTCTTATTTTGACTCGTACCATCCTCCTCGTCATCAATATCCATCCATCCACCCTCAACATCATCCAGCTCTTGCTCAAGAGCTGAGAGATCCAGTGTGCCTGCACGCTGAACTTCGGTTAAAAGCGGATTAACATTCAGCCCTGAAATGAGGTTATATAGATTACTGTTTCTGTACAATTGGTCCTGAACACTCTCTGCTATGGACATGTGAGCTCGGGCGTCTGCAGGTGAACTGGAGCCATCAACACCTGTATTCTGATGACCGCTATTCGCAGCAATGCTACCCAATCCTGGAATAGCAGACGGAAGAATAAAACCACTTAAAGAAGACTGTTGGCCATCTAGTGTAGATAATGGCGAGGACTGCTGCTGGTCGTGTTGCTGTTGTTGTTGTTGCTGTTGCTGCTGTCGATATTGATGTTGCCAATACTCCTGTCTCTGTTGGTGTTCAAGTTGCTGCTCAATCTGCCGCTGAAGCTGCAGCTGAGCAGGGCTCTGTTCAGTTACAGGATGAAATGCCGGCCCAAAGTAGAGAGGGTGGTTGTCATAGACTCCCTTTCCTGGAACAGAGTCCACTTCCTCGGCGTCCAAGAAAGTATCATCATTGTCGTCATAATCTCTGTCATGATTCAGCGTGTCACTATCATCGTCCATATCGTCGTCATCATCAAGAGAATCATAGTCACCATCTACAGACTCATCGCTAAAATATTCTTCCCCACGGGCCTCAATATCTTGGCGCCTACGGAAGCGGGCTGCCCGCCGTGCTCGTTGGCGCTGTCTTCTCTGTCTCCTATTCTGACGCTGTTCGCGCTCACGGTCGCTAGCGGCGAATGCAGAGCCTTGGGCCCGTATCCAGTCTGCGCCATAGTGAAGCGATGAACTAACAGCACCCATTAAATTTAGCCAGATGTGAATGAATGTCTTTGTTCACTTGTCCTAGGGTAGTGTTTTGGAAACAAAAACTTGAATGCGAATAAGTATGATGATGCAATTGAGAAATCCCCTGTAACATGTCCAGCCGCATTGTGGCATAGGTCACGTGCACTGGCGCACCTTTAGGAACACCCATGCTCACTTCTGTTTCCAGCTCCTGGAGACCATCATTAATTATGAATATGAATATTCTAGCACACTAAGTCTTGAAAGTATACAGACAGATATTTTTCCCGTATCATTCTCTCTCCATCACTTTCCAAGGTGTTTTTACAATGACTATGCTCGACGAGCCAGCAATCATCAAAGATTCCCACTGCCCCTACAAACAGCACTCAGATGTAATTAGTCTTCTCATAATGCCGAAACATCCCAGTCTTAGCTGTTTATTCAGCTTATGGTCTCCTTGAACCCATTATTAACATTAATGCCTTCATGAGAAATAACTACCAAACTTGAGATTTCATTCCGCACTATGTTCCTGCCCTTCCTTTGTTAGACTTCCTTTACGGAAACCTTGGGTCTTTCTTGTTTGGTTACTGTGGTCGCCTGGAGGATCATCCGCCGAAGCCTGAACGCTTACTTCGAGCTTTTATACCATTTCTAGTCCTTCCGTTTTGAGGAGTCTTCTTTTTCCTTGGTTTGGCGCAGCAAACTTTCTTCCATGGTTTATCTTTTTATTTTCCTTCCTTGAACTATCACGATATCTCAACTCCTTCTCTTTCGTTCCAGGACGACAATCCTATTCTTCTTTCATGATTGCCCTTATTAGTTTCTACTGAAAGTTTTTTTCTTTTTTCCTCCTTGTCATGTATCATTACACGCTAAGTGGAAGCGCACTTGGCTAATATCACTTGGCCAACGGAAGACGATGTCCCCATTCGCTGATTTTCTAACCCGTTTTGAATCGATCCTTTAAAGAATTTTGCGAATCTCGTCATTGTCTCGCTCGCATGATCAACCAAGATTTTAAGGCAGCAGTTGAAAAGCTTCGCCCAGTTTTGACAATCTTTGAAGATTTACATAAATGCATTCAGACTTTGGATAACAAATACCCTCTCAAGCTTTTTTACAGTCATCTACCATCCCATAATCGCCCTCCGTATGTTTTGATAGACGCAAAAATAGGACAGCTCATTCCTTTTTTACACGTCTTCAGTGCTTCCACCTCCTCTGCCACCTCTGACTTCTGAGATCAGAAAAAGAGATCTGCCGGACTATTTCCTACTAATCGTTTCCTCATCAACTTTGAAGCATAGTCGAGACTTATCCATAGCTATATACCTACCAGCATGAGCTAATGATCGGAGTACATGGTAGCTTTAAATTAATGTAAAGTGTTTACATTTGAGCCAGCTCTTCATCCACCCTTTTGGTATCTTTGACTTATATTTTAGGCCATATCATATAATGAACTCCAAGCTTCTCTATTGATAACCACCGCTACGGTATTAATCAACCTGAAGAAGGGCCTGGCTCTCAAAAGCTAACATCCATAAAGCGTGACAACTTCGGACAACGGGGTGAAAAGGATTGCTCGATCGACAAAAAAAAATATATAACCTTTTTTTAAAAGATGCAGCTAATCAATGCACTAGAAACATTGGTTCGTGCTGTTCAGTATTATAAAAATTAGGAGTGACAGGTGTACCGGACATTTACTTATTTTAGGCCAATGGATAGAATGGAGATGCCACGGTGATTATTTCATGCGAGAGGTTGGTTGATAGATGTTAAGGGTTATGCAAAGGGGCAAAGCCGGTGCAATTGTGATTATGTTAATCATATTTATCTGTATAGGACATATGGAACTGTTCTATCTTACGTGCATACATAACATGAATAATAGAATAAATAAATAATTAAGGATGAGAAAGGGTGAAAACAGTAGGCCAAATGGATTCTACAAATCTGACATGCTACATTGAGCAAAAACAGTATCTATTAGTAAATAGCGATTACTTTATTAGAGGAAAAGTGAGGTTCTTGATACTTTAATACCAACTTGGAACGGAAGCGGGGGAATTGTTGTTTTCAAATTCGCAGGGAGGATGCAAACTACTCAACTTGCTGAAATTCCCAATGGATTGTATCGTTTCCGGGCCCGTAAATGGGCTGTAGAGCAAGAATATGTGGCTCGGGTGTGTCTGGCAAGATCCCAATAGCAACGTCCTCTGTGAGACCTTCAGGTAGGAGAATGTTGTAGAAACCTTGTTTTTCACTCTTTTGGAGCCTCCATTTCTGCTGCTTCCGATCAATGACCACAACCCCAGTAGACAAGGAATGTACTATAAGGTAATTGCTAGGCACTGAGCTTGTAATGGTTATGTGGTCCTCATCAATGGACCGAATGTGCCAGACTTGTTCCAAGTCTTTATTTTCGGGATATAGGAAGACAGGGAAATTCACTACTTTTTTACCCGCGCTAATTTGCTGATCTTGCTGAAGGATGCGGTATCGTCCGTCACTAATAACAGCAGAAAGAGCCACCTGTAACAAGGCGAAGAAAGTACTTAAGAGGACGGTCAAGCGAGCCATTACTGGAGAAAATAAATATCGAGTGGCATAAAGTCAATATCCCACTGCCCAAGGCTCATAGTTCATTGAACGGTAGCAAAAGAACAAGGAGACCATGCAACGCCTGAAAGCCAAAAGCACATACCTGAAGTATTGGTACTTTGAAAACAGGAGGCTTTTATTAGTGAATGGATTGTAGACGAGTAGACGAGTAGACGAGAGATGTCTGAAAAAAAAAAAAAAAAAAAAAAAAAGGAATCTATTTAATCCATGAAAATATGCTTCTAAAGAGAAGGGAGGAGGAGTGTGGGGGAAAATAAAGGGTCCTCGTCTTGTCCCTTTTTTTTTTTTTTGTTCATCACGTTCAGAATTGTTCTGGTCGTGGCAAAATTAAAATAGCGCACTATCCGTTATTAGGGCAAGTGAGCATGCATGAAAGGATTTCTCCTTGCCAGAAAGTCGTCCATGGATACCAAGGCTCTTAATTGGATAAGATACTCTCCATCTCTGATAACCAGCAAGTTTATTTTTTATTCATTTATCGACGGCTTTCTGACGAGGATCCTATCTTTCCATTATTATTTTTAAATTTTTACTTATTTATTTATTTTCAATGTGTGTTGAATTAATAATGTGAGAATTGATCTCCCTTCAACGTCCTGAAAGCAATTCCCGTCTAGATTACGCGGCATTATAATGAAGTAACAGCTATAAGGCACCGTAGTGCATGAAAGCTTAATACACGAAACGAACCTGATCAGCGCTCTATATCCTATGCTAATTGCTCTTAAATGTCACTAGAAGATTACCCCTATCTTAAACTAACCTAGCGCATCTGAGCCATAGCAAGGCATAGTTACCACCTCAAGTCCAGATGCCCTCCGTCATTTTGGATGCCAAGTGAGGTGGCTACCAAGCATTTACATTTCTAGGCTGATGCAAGAAGCGCTGGACTAGGCTGCTAATAGAGGCTCATATCGCGCTATTTATCCAGAGGGTTTTCAAACGAGCAACTTCGGGCTGGTGTCTTCTTCCTTAAAGCCCCTCATCTCGTATTGAGCCATGAGCGCTGGAGTTGCTCCTCTCGACGCCTTCTTATGGCAGCTCACACCTGTCCAAAGTCTTTCGCCTCCTTGGCACACTAATAGGAATAAGCGAGAACGAGGTTATCTGCTTTGACTCTAGCTGGAGTAGTAGCCAATTGGTACTGTCACCAAGTTGGATCTTCCTCAGCAGCGCAACAGTACTAAAATTTAAAAAAAAAAAATAAAAAAAAAAAAAAAAAAAAGTTGCCACTGCATTATTGGTGAATGAAATTGTTTCCTACCAATCACTCCCCCGCCGAGTTTGAAGCCTACCAAGGCATATAAGCAACCAAAAAGTACGAGCTACTGGCTGAGACACATGGTTGTTTGCTAAATTATGCGAGTCATCCATTTGAACCAGTTCTTCATTCACCCTCTTGAATTTTTTTTTTTTTTTTTTTTTTTTCCTGCTTAAGATTGCTTTTAACTCTAGCAGCTGCGTGAAGGCTGTAAAATTATGCCCATTCACGTCTACAATACTCTCTCGCTATGATATGTTGCCATAATGACTCGCTATTATACTACTTTCCTAAATGATAGTGTATTTGATCGATATTCCGGTCATATTGCCATAAAACGAACCTAAATTTCTCCATAAAGAACTGATGCACCAGCCTTGGTCAGTTGAAAAACGCTCAGTTTCAGTAAAATGAGTTCCAATCAAAGGAGCAGAAGCGTTTGAATAAATGCAAGACAGGACGTTCTTCAAAGATCCCACCAATCAACGCATAACAAAGATTGGCCCGTGCTCTTGTATGAGGTATTGTTTTAAATTATGCGCACAAATATTGGTGCTTTCAATCGAGGCTTTTACACAGAAAAGCAATGATAGTGAATGACAGATCTCAAGTGGGATGAAGAAAAAAATCTATTCAATTTGGTCAGCTATACAAAGGAGCATGCCATCGCAGTTGTAGGCTATATTTGATCGTACTTGACCTTTTGAAGCACTCGGGTTAAAAGCAATGAACAACACGAATGAGAAAAGCATTGATCCATTGAAATCAAGCACACAGATAAGGAGAATAGGAGCATTGGAGGGAAAAAGGAGCAATGAGATAAGATTTAGAAAGCTGCTAAGAGAGAGACAAAAAAAAACCAGTTACGGACTTTTATTGCTAAAATACTATTTTAACGAAGGGAACTCAAGTCCAGTCATTAGTCCCATGACCATTTCAACTGGGAGCGGAAGCGGGGGATCTTCCTCTCAGAGCCGCAGGATCCAAAGCCATCATCCTTCTCAAGCTTCCAATGAGTTGTGTGACTTGAAGATCCATGAGCTTTTTGCAGAGCAATACGAGGAGGAAAGATTCGGTAGGGCGAGATACCGATAGAGAGATCTTCGCCACCAACCTGCTCGGGGTAGACAATATTGTAGTGACCTTCTTTTTCCCCACTCTTCGTGAGCTTCCATTGCTGCTCTTCCCAGCCAGCGAGAATAAAGGCATTGTAGCGAGCCCTTTCGACTCCGAGGAAACGACCAGTTGTTGCACTCGAAATGGTGACATGGACATCGTCAACGTGTTTGATGTGCCAAACTTGTTCTGAGTAACCCCTATCGGGGAACAAGAGAGCAGGCGATTCCTCGTTTGTTTCATCTGCGCTAATCGCATCATTGTCTTGTTTGATGCGATATAATCCATCTCCAAGGAAAGCAGCAAGAGCCACTTGCAATAAAGCAAGGAGGGTGCCCAAGAGAGCGATTGATCGAACCATAGCTGGAGGAAAGAGACAAAAAATAAAAACGCGGAAAGGTCAACACTCAAATGCTTAAGAAATCTAGTTAATTATTCAGCAATAGAGGGTAAATAAACTATGTAATGACTGAAAGTTGAAAGCACATGCCTGAAAAGTTGATGCTTGTGAAAAGAGTTGTATTCTAAATGGCTTTGAGAAGTGGATGTGTGTAGACGAGATGTCTGAAGAAAAAAAAAAAAAAAAAAAAAAAATGGTAAAAGGAAGCTATTTTAATGTTTTCGTTTGTTCATTTTTTTTTTTTTTTTTTTTTTTCCCATGGTTTTGAGATCCCAGCATGTTTTTTTCTTTAGATCATCTATACGCGTCTGTCAATCACAGCAATTTGCTGAATCACAAATTGCAGCATGAATGTAAAAAAAAAAGGGGATGGCGTGCACGGCCCGCAATAAGGGTCAATGTGCATGCTGGTAAAAGTCCGTAGTAGACCAATGTAACATTTTCAGTGGTATAGTCCTATACACATTTTTTGAGTAACTTCGAATGCATGCATCCCCTATATTTTTCGAGTCCATCCCAAAGGTATAGAAGCCAATCAGCTTGCTTATGGCGAGTCGGCTAATACAGAAAAAAAAAACCACAAAGCTAATTCAATCGTTTTAAAATAAGAAATATATTTGGTCCTGGTTTGCGAGAATGGCGATAATAAGAATGGATGGGATGTCCAGCCAATGCTTTTTTGCATACTTTTGATCTGTCATAGGAAAGGGGCATCAGTCTTCTTCTCTTCACCATACAGCGCTTTCCTTTTTTTTTTCGAAGTGTAAAAAACGGTTCTTGGAGTAACGGAGTTTTGCGAGGGAGTGATATTATCATCATTGTCAACACCACCACCGTTCTGAAAGTCCTCAGGCCCTTCTCCAGCAACACTCGGCAATTGCTGTCAAACTCGGATACTATAGCGGCGGCACATGTGGTCCTAAAGCACAATGTACATATGAGCGTAGTTAAACAACAATATATACATCGCTTACCATGTAGTGAAATTAGGGTGGAGAGAGGGTCGCCTTGCAGAAAGGCCCATATCCGGGGTGCGGCACTTGTTATGAATCACACCTTCAGTGTGGCAGCTCCTACACCAAGGAGACCATGGTATAAATAGCTTTGTTCCCCCCGTCGTCCCAATATCAATGGGTAACTCTGAGAGATACCCACGCCCTTGGACCGCACTTTTGTAAAACAGGCTCGCTGATTCTGGTGGATATTCTTTACGGCAGCTTTGGTTACGCTACTTATCTTAAGTTCATTGGTGGTAGTCTCGATTCACTTGTCCAACTTCGATTCAGTGTATATTTCCACTTTTCGTCCAACTATTTTTTTTAGTTGTTGTACCGAAAATCTTCTTGAAAAGTGTTCGGGAATCATTATGCTTTGCATCCCAAACCTTCTAATAAATAACGCATAGACTGATAAGGTAGCTAACAGGTATATAGCTATATCATATTTATAGAAGAGGAGTTTACTTGGTGAGCATGGCTGAAGATAGATTTAATATATTTAGCCAAAGTGAAGTACAGTGCGAATAAAGTGAAGAAGAATACGCAATAGGGATTATGCGATCAAAAATAGTAGGGCTTCACCGTTTAAAAGTATCAAATGAGGCCAAGTCCTTGCCACTGTCAACATATTTTGACATGGCCGTCATCTTGGGAACAGGTTACATTTACTTGCTTTGAAATAAAATATTGGGCAGCAATTTCTTATTTGCTCTTATTCTGAGTACCAAAACCTGAGGCTGAGTGTCTCTTTAAAGTATGTGCGTTCTAAAGCTGCAAAATAAAGCAAAGGTGAACATGTAGACACTCACATAAGGGCTTTCAACTGGTTTCCTTCGAGAAGATTCCTAGAAACACTGCCTATGGTAGGAGAGAGTTGTTCAGTCAAGCATCTCCAGCGCATTCTTTTTAGGAGCGCCGATTGGACTGTATGATTGTATGTACAGATGGTCAGTGAGAAACGCTCATCTCTTTAATTATCATATCGACTACGTTTTGATAGTGGGTGGATAAATCATGTAACATAAATGCCACAGACTGTCCTGCCTTCGAGATTTTACAATCTCAGCTAGAGGATTTAATACTTCAAATCTCGAGCTTCCAGATTGGGTATATCCTCCTCTTTCCCTGTTGAATATAGTAACAAATGTTGCAGCGCTTGAGCTTCATCAATCGGCTTGAACAGGCGAGGGTGAAGACGCTCTTCCTTCGCAATTTTCACGAGGTTGACTCCAGATAAGGTAACCTGGACTGTATTGACAATGTCGGAAAGCGCCATTCTACATTCGATATTTATTATTAAGTATGATATAGGGAGTTAGCTAGAATAATAGTAGCAAAAAAAAAAAAAAAAAAAAAAAAAAAAAACTGGTTAGAGCTATATAAGAAGTAAGTCATATATTGCTTATATACTGCGTATGAAAGCCTAATATAGGACTTTTCGCCCATTTGGCTTCAGAAACATCACTATACCTGATGAACATCGTGAGTGGTGCCTTGCCACTGTCCACTGTAATAACTAGTAACAACATCATCAACAATAAGGGTGACACCGACAAGAGATTTCTCTTAGCGACTTATGAAGCTGATTTCCGCAAGGCACGCTTCGTCTCACTACCACTACCAGAGATCTTGACTTCGGTGACCTTTACCACGTTTAACCCGTTGGTGTCATCAAAGGCCCTCCAGAGACAAAACAAATCTGGCACTTGTTCGAACTATGGCATCGTATTCTATCTGACTAGAAGGCTTCAGATGCAAATAAAGATCACTTTGACCATTGTGTGAGTAAAGAGATGAGAAAAAGGATGAGGAATCAATGTGTGGGTGAAATATTGCGCGAGTGAGTAAACAGAGAAGAAAGAAAAAGAAAAGGCCCATTTGTTCTGGTCAGTTTTGATCTGTCCGCCACATTAAAATGTTTTTTATACAGTTTAATTTAATTTAATTTATTGTTGTACTTTCTAATAGTCATAGTCTCCAGACCCATTCTGATCGCCGCTTTCCCATGCTTTGACCCGTTCATCAAGCGTTCTCCACGATAAAGTACCAGGTCCTGTGCGGACGGGTTTTTTTCTACTTTTTCCAATCTTTTTCCCGTCATTGTCATTGTCATTGTCATTGTCATTGTCATTGTCATTACCATCCATATCATCAACGAGGTCTTCTTGTTCTTTTTCTTCTTCATCATCATCTTCTGCGTCGAAATACTGATCTTCTTGATCATGGCTCTCTTGTTCAAGATCATCCAAGCCCTCATCAAAATCCACCAAGGAATAGTCAAAGCTTTTATCGAGTCCGTCCAAAAACCGTTGTTTCATCAACAACACAAACTCTTGCCGTAATGCTTCTTGATACTCTTTTTGACTAACGAACTTTGGGTCTAGCTCCTCCATATTATAACTATCCTCCTTATCTTCATTGTCATTGTCTTTGTCAGATTCCTCAAGGAGATCCTCACCATTCTCTACTTGTGCGAACAGAGCTCGTTCCTGAGGTGGGTCAAGTGTCATTGCTGCAGAAGCAAAGGTTGAGGACACAAACCCTGGGATCGGTTCTGGAGGCAAAGGCGGTGTATTACTGATTTTTTCAGCAATCTCATCATCGTCGCTAATGACATTTTTGAGAGGCCCCTTCCTCAAATCTACATCTACATTTGCATCTGCATCCTCCTCATCTTCGCTCTCTGTGTCAAACTCTTCTTCAAATTCACTTTCTGAATTGCTTTGATTCCCTTGCCTTTGTGATTGAATAATCCTTGATTGATGGTCATTTCGATTAGCCTCCCTTTGCTGCTCTTGCTCAAATTTGAGCTCTCCTCCTGTTGGATGATCAACGCTCCAAAGGATCCTATCCACCAGTCTAACATCCTTACCAAACGGCTTTGGCCCGTCTCTCGATCGTTTGAGCCTCGGTTTGGATGATGATCGGTCCTTATACTCTTCGCCATCAGTAATAACTTCCACCTCAATTTGGTCTTCAATATCGTCTTGATCAGCATCATTATCGTCGTCATCCATATCCATAAATCTTCCAATATACTGCCGGTACAACTCTGGTTCCCTCGCTGCCATTTCTGCATCTGAGAAGTATGTGGAGTCGGAGAAGCTGAGATTTGATAAGGATCCAGAGATGGATAGAATACTGGCCAAGGTTGGATGATGTTGATTTATCGTTCCTTTGGATGAACTATCAATGTTATAGTTCCTACTGCTTGTATCGATGCCATAGGCGCTACTATGACTTGTAGCATGCTTTGCAGTCAAGGGTTCGCTTGGATCGGGAGGTGCGAGATGACGGAGAAGATAATTGAGTCGTCTGTTTCGCCGCGTACTTTGAGAGACGGTCGATCGTGTAAACAGATCGTTCTGTGCAGGTTGAGGCTGAGGATGAAATCCAGGCTCTTGTGGTTGCTCAATATCCATGTCATCATTTGAAGTGATTGTAGTACAAGTATTAGGCAGAGAAGTGGAAGCGGTCGTAATTGTGGGTGAGGTTCTTTTTCTAGAAGCTTCAAAAGCTGCGTGCTCTGACAATTGCTGAAGTTGTTGATACAATTTTGTAAGTTGATACTTGACTTCGTAGTTCTCTGGTGATTAGGAAGAAAACGAAGAGAAATGGAACGGAATAAAATATACAGACAAGATTGGTGAGAAGCATCTTTTTTTTTTTTTTTTTTTTTTTTTTTTTTTTTTTTTTTTTAATTTTTTTTTTATCACAATCCATAGCTGATCCTGCATTACCTGTCAGTGGGATAAATAAATCCAAGATATCTTTGGCCGACATGGCTGATTCAGTTTGGGTGGATGACCCGTTGTTCTCAGTGTTGCCATCTGCTGGTCGAGGATAGAGGATGACAGATCCCCATTTTGTGAGAAAAATGCCTGGGTCTTTAGCCAAGGTTGCTTCAATTTTTTGTCGCTTCTGATCTTTAGTAAGAGCTGGCTCGTTTGGACGTGTTGAGCTCGGAAAGCCAGTCTCGAGAGTTTCTAATTGCGGTTCAAGGTAGTGCAGTATAGTAGTAATGGAAGTTGATGTCAATGACATTCTTTTTTTTTTTTTTTTTTTTTTTGAAGGAATGAAAAGGTTTTTTTTGGGTCCGTGTCTTTGTGGAACAGACATATCGTTCCATTGCAAAAAAACCATTAAATCACTCCTTTGATCTGCGTTTTTAATTTGCTTAATTCCAATAAATATCACATGACACTAAATATCGATGAGCAAAAATGTTCGCCAAAAAAGACATGCCCCTAGTGATCATTAAGAGTTATGTAAAGTTTTTATTATTTCAGTATCCACTAATTGGAATATTCTGTGGATCCAAGAATTCATTGTGGAAAGCCTTTTGGTAGTCATAGACACACTTGAGCGCTCGTCAACGCTCGTAGAGCCTATAGAACTTGAGTCTGCCGGGAATAGGACTGATGGTATGCTCACCCAGCGGTCATTACGCTTATGCACGGCTGTTGCTGCTTGGTGCGATTAGCAGCCATTTTTATATAGAACTGATTTTTACCCTTTTTATTTAACGAAGATCCCTGGATCATAATAAAAAGATCTTTCTTTCGTTCTCGTTACTTATTATGATCCTGGCATATTTCAATTACACTATCTATATTCTATATATGTTTGCAAAGAGTACGTCCTTGAGACCTTTGAAGCTTACATATGCCATATCAGCTAACTCTTTAACGAGGCTATCGTGGTCCTTCAGTTCGATATCTCTGCCACAACTTCCGACGATCCGGAATCATGAAATCGGATGGAGGACATCCTGGATAGCCACGGCTGAAATAAAACTAAAATCTGCTCTGCTACCAAGTGGATCTGCATCTTCTTGATAGTGAGCCTGGAGAGTACGTAACAAAAAAAAAAAATAAAAAAAAAAATAAAAAAAAATAAAAAAAAATAAAAAAAAAAATAAAAAAAAATAAAAAAAAAATAAAAAAAAATAAAAAAAAAATAAAAAAAAATAAAAAAAAAATAAAATAATAAGAAGGATGGACAAATATGGTCTTGGCTCGAAGGATAATGCTGAAGGATGGCTTACTCTCTGTATTGCAGATGCAGGAGAGCTGCTTAGGCCCGAGAAAGAAACTGAGTCAGAGTTGATTGAACGTTTCCTAGCATACTCAATGGTGATATTTTGACTTCCAGGGATTCGAAAAGGCTTGCTGATGCCCGTCTTGAGTGTTGGGGTGCAGCTGCTGAAACAATGTTTAAGAGCATTCTCATGCAGGGACCGCAGGGGCGTAGGACCCTTACGCTTGTCGATGAACATGGCAGGCTCTTCGAATGCAATCCCCCATTGACAGAACAATGTAAATGGTTACGCTCTCTTGGAGACCTTGCCAGTTGGTCTGATGGCAAAGTTGGATCTTATTTGGTCCTCATGGGCATAGCGCACGTAAAGTTCGGAATGGACTATATGGAAGCAAGCTATAGGCAAGATAACACAACAGTGGAATTTGTGGGCCCCCTTGTCGGACAATGTTTTCAAGAAGCTGTTGGAGTATGATCCCAACCTCGACTCTGTGCCTTATGAGGATATGCAGAGAACCACAAGTTGTGTGCCACGACTGTTGATAAACTTGTTAGAGTATAATAAAAGGAGTCCAGGCGCGCCCGCTTAGAAGACTATTCAGGTGTTTGAAGCGTCGCAAAGGTCGAAGTTCTATGGGCATGCCAAGGAATTCTACAACGGCATCCAAAGTGATTGGGAGCGTAAGCGTTTTATAGGGACCTTGCCTCAGCGTTTTTGCATAGTTCTGTCGAAGGAGGTTTCGAGTGGGAATTTATGGCTCTTGGTCCTTTTTATCATCTAAGGGGATATAGAAGGGTTTTATACCGCCCTTTATGTAAAGCAGCCTTTAGAGTACTCCTGGATCTGTTCATGGGAATACCAATGCCACTAAGTCTAATGGAGGGACTCAAGGCTGGTAGGGGGGAAGTAAAGGTGGTGAGTGGGTTTGTTGTTGGATACAGGGGTAAAAAAGAAAGAATGAAAAAGAGAGGAAAAAAATGAGGCCTTTAAATACAAAGGGTTCCCAACGCCACCTCACACACTGCAGACGTGGATAATTAATCAAGCTCATGGAAAGCAATACTAAAGACGGAAATCAGTAGCGACTAAATCATGAGTGGCATCACTGATCAAACAGTTTCTGCATCATACCTTTCTTTTCGTAACCATTTTATCTCCTTTAATCAATTTCTTTAACCTTTAGTTCCTATCCTTTCAAATTGCAACCAACAAGTCGAGCCGATCCAGGGAAAATGGGGTTCAGTGTTGCTAATTCAGGGTAAGGTCTCTTTCATTAAGCCCAAACAATGACAAGAGAAGAATCTAGTGTAGTCTTAGCATCGGTGTTGCTTGTTGTCGCAGGTGTTGATTATTGGTCTTTAAGATCTTTAAGATATAGAGATATAGAAGCTCGACTATGGAAATAGAAATTGGCCTTGACTATATAGACGCTAATAGTAATGGGGAGAATGCAGAGGTAGAGACGCAATTAAAGTACATGGCCGCTTTTCGTCAAGTGTTCGTGGTATTGAGTGTGTCTTTAGAGGTGATGCAGAAGGTTCCCTGAGAATGGAAATGGGAGTGGCAATGGGAAGAGAGAAGAAGCCTGTTATGCATGCGGATGATGGTGGATATATATTTTTTTTTTTACACAAGGACAAAAAGATCAAGGCTGTAATTTTTTTTTTTTTTTTTTTTTTTTTTTTTTTCAGGTTCGCGTTGTTTGTGCTGTGCTAGGTTTGTGCTGCTTGGGCGCAGTAGCTCTTGAGAGATATTATGACCGATATTAAAAATTCTAATACGTCATCTGGAATCAGAAATACAGATAGAATTTGAATAAATGTGTAAAGGCCAATTGCCCTTGTATGTTTGACTGACCATCCATTCCATTCACCCACTCACACATCCTTCGCTTCATCTTATCGCCAAAGAAGAAGAAGAAGAAAAAAAAAGGAACAAGTGGATACCTCAACACAAGACTAACGTAGACATGGGAGAGGAACGCAAATTGCCATTTGGCATCACATCGGTCATGCCTAGCACAATGCAGGTCAGAAAAAATAACAATAACAATAATAGTAACAACGATAATAATAATAATGATCAAAATAAAAAAAAAAAAAAAACAATTTTAAAAAATGAATACTTGAGATTGACCTTTTTTTATAAAAAAAAAAAAAAAAAAAAAAAAAAAATACACTGGCTGGGTTATGTAGACCATCGCCGATAGTAAAGTTGCCGGATTTACCATTGGAGCTCAGAAACGTACCAACCCGTTCCAGAAACACAAGGAAGAAGCCGAAATGAAACGAAGGGTATAAAAAAAAAAAAAAAAAAAAGCGAAATACTGCAGAAAAAACATTATATATTACATCCTCTTCCACTTCCCTATTACCAATCCTATCCCTTCTATATTTCTTGTGCATTTTTTTTTTTTTTTTTTTTTTTTTTGCTAAAAAAAAAAAAAAAAAGATAAAAAAAAAAAAAAAAAAATGAATGGATACAGAAAAGACTCATGCATCCAAATCGAACGAAAAAAACAAAAAACAAAAAAAAAAAAAATCTTCCACCCTTTCCTTTCCCACCATTCTTCCTCTTTTCTTCCAAAAAAAAAAAAAAAAAAAAAAAAAATGTCCCATTTTTTTTTCTTTAGAAAGAATCAGAGGAGGCAGCCAAGGCATATGAAGAATTTGTAGCTTCTTTTGAGGTGGATGAGTCTGCCAAGAAAGAAAAGAAGTTTATCAAGGGCAAATCTACTTTTGTGCCCACAACCTGTAAGTTTAAAGGTTATAAAAAAAAAATAGTAAATTTGTGAATATACATGTGGATTAAATCAACTATCTGACCTTTTTTATTTTCTGTGTATATGTATATATAGCAATTTTCGGCGATGATGACGATGAAGAAGAGATGGCAAACAAAGATGCGGAGGCAAAGGCGAAGGCGGCTTATAAGCCTCAAACGTTTGTCCAAGCATCTTCTTCTTCCTCCTCATCAACGACCACCTCACCAGCAGCGAAGACTCTCTTCAACACAACCGAGCCCACGCCCTATGTTCGGGATGCTAAAGCAAAGAGGAAAAAGGAAATGGACGCATTCTTGGAAGAGCTTAAAAGGTATTCTACTCTTTTATTTATGTATTTCTCTGCGGGTCAAATTAATGACTATTGTTGATGATCGCCAAAATAAAATAAAAATAAAAATAAAAATATATAAAAAAAAAAGAGGACTTACTTGAAATCCTTCGTCGATCATCTAATAGGAATCAAGCCGAGAGGGATGAACGACTGAATAAGAGTCTTGCTCGACCAATCCAGGGTACAGTCCAGTGTGTTTTTGGATATTGTCATTGCTGTGGCAATAACAACAAAAACTCTTCTTAATGAGTTTTTTTTTTTTTTTTTTTTTTTAATTTATATGACTTGTTATGGATCTTAGATGACTACAAAATGGGTTCTAGGGATACAGGTGACCCCAACACAACGAATCTTTACATTGGAAATATCAATCCAACCGTCAATGAGGAACAGCTTTGTATGGAGTTTGCCAAGTATGGGCCAATTGCTAGTATCAAGATCATGTGGCCAAGGACCACAGAGGAGATTGAGAGGAATCGCAATTGTGGGTTTGTAAGCTTTATGGAGCGTTCGGACGCAGCTGTTGCATTGAAAGAAATGGATGGCATGGAGCTGATGGGATATGCTATGAAACTCGGCTGGGGCAAGGCTGTTGCGCTTCCAGCAGTGCCATTTTTCGGTAAGAGCAAGCTGGTGTTGGATAGGGAATGATTGATTGTACTTTTATATGTATTGTTCAATTGACAATTGACTGGAATTCAATTCAATATTTGGGATATTTGTATAAATGTGTGTGTGTGTGTGTGACATCAAAAATAGTTCACAAGGATTACAAGGCGCCTCCTAAACCGGCCAAGATTCCAGTACGGAAGTCAATACCTCCCTCCAGCACTGATATTATTGTGAAAAAGCCCGATGATGTACACACCCTTATATGCATCCACCAAGTCATTGAAATGGTCTTGATACATGGTCATCAATTTGAACAAGCTCTTATCCAAGAGAAAGCACAGGATCCTCTTTTCTCGTTCTTGGTTAACCACAAAGTATGTTTATAGGATCTCTTCTATGACAGGCTGGCTTTTTTTTTTTTTTTTTTTTTTTTTCAATTATTGAAAAAGGATTTCTTTTATTCTAATATCATTACTACTTTGATTAGTCACCCGAGCATGTCTATTACCGATGGAAATTGTTTTCAATGATGCAAGGAGATACAGCAACACGCTGGCGGACAGAGCCTTTCAAAATGGTGGATGGTGGGCCAGTCTGGGTACCGCCTTTGATGACATTTACAGACGAGGTTTTTGAAGAAGATGAGCAGTTGATTGATGCACATCAGGATGAGTTTGAGAAGTCACATGTGAAAGGAAGACTTGGACGGGGTGCACGAAGCTTTTTCGAGGCACAATTGAGGCTGATCACTAACCAAAGACGGTCTATCGGCAAAGCCATGATGTTTTGCATGCAACATGCAGATGCTGCAGATGAGGTGGGCTGTTGCTGTTGATGGAAGGAACTATTTTAAAAAAAAAAAAAAAAAAAAAAATTCTTTGGTTGAGGCTTTTGTGAAAGTATATATGATTTATGGGACTAATCATAACCTGTTTTTTTTTTTTTTCCTTCTTTTTCGGCAATAGATTGTAGATATTATTGTGCAGTCAATGACTATACCAAGCACACCACAACAGACTCGATTGGCTCGTCTTTACCTGATCTCTGATATTTTACACAACTGCAGCGTATCTTTGCCCAATGTCTGGAAATTCCGCTCAGCGTAAGCTTGCCAAATGCATAAGAAAAAAAATATATATATTGCAATGGATGTCATACACACACACACACTATTTAACCATGCTTATTCATCTTTTTTCTTCTTAATGTATACATATATATATATAGATTTGAGATCAAGTTACCTATGGTTTTTGAAGCATTGAATGGGATATATCGCAACATTGATGCACGACTTAAAGCAGAACAGTTCCGTAGACAGATTTCTAATGTCCTTGCGGTGTGGGAGAACTGGATTGTTTTCCCTCAGACCTATATTGATAACCTTGCGAATGTGCTGACGCGCAGAGAGAGCAACGATCAGGAGCAGATGAACAAATTGTCTTTTGCTCCCGGTTCTGCTGCAGAGGGTACGATATCAACAGGAACAGGAGTAGGAACAGGAACAGGAGCAGGAGCAGGAGCAGGAACCAGTTCGGTGGCACAAGGAACATCTAAACCTCCGTTGTCCAATACACTTTCTGTTGTCGAACAAGAGAACAACAAGCACAAGGCGGATGTGGATGAAGACATTGATGGTGTACCGATGGAGGAGGATGGGAATGAGGATATTGATGGGGTACCTTTGAAGACGACTGAGGATCTGGACGGGATACCCATGGAGGATGAGGACCTTGATGGTGTACCAATGGAAGATGAGGATCTGGACGGTGTACCACTTTGATCTACCTAGTCGTTATTAGCTCTTTTTTCTCTTTATTTCCTTAGAACAGCGATAATTTTATTTTATTTCATCTTTATTGTTATTTTCTTATGCTTTATGCATTAAATCGAAGAAGCATAACATGGCTCTTTGTTTATCCACAGTGTGTCCTGTACGTATATATGTGATATACATGAATGGATTTGAGAAGGAACAAGACGGTGCGAGAATGATTCGTTCGGATTAAGAAGAAGAAGAAAGAGTTTGATTAACGCGTCTTTTTTGGGCTGCTTTGTTTGATTAGTTTTAACCGAAATATGGGTAATGTGGGTGAAAAGGAGCTCACTGAACCTTAACCAATTCTCTCGATCACACACATGCAAACCTCTTTCAACCGAACCCACCTTTTCTCCAGATCAGGACTCTAGGCATTTTTGTTGGTGTTGTTTGTTGCTGTTATTGTTATTGTTATTGTTATGTTTTGTAAAGAAATAAAGAAAAAGAAAAAGAAAAAGAAAGAGAGTCTCAGGGATGCATAGAATAGAATATTGGAATCATGCACGCATTGGGCTGTTTTAATGAGAGGAGAAAAAGAAAAAGAAGATACATTATCAAGAGTATATATTTACACCAAAGACATATATAAGCCTACTGTATAAGAAGGTCTATTGCATTCCACATTATTATCAATACATGTATATGTATGTATTAGAAAGATAGGATTGTTGTTGAGGTCGACTGAGGATTTTAGTGGCAATAATTAAGCCGGATTTGTTGATATATATATGATATATACAGTATAAATGACATGTATAATAATATATTTGTATAGATATATATAAATATATATATTTTACATTTATTTCCAAAAAGGATAAAAGATTGTTCTGACAGAATAGTGGGAATAAAAAAAGTTTAATTCCCACATGGCATTTTTTATGTTTTGTATTTTTGATTGTCCGACTTAATTGCCACGTTGTCGCCTGTTTAATTGCCCATCTATTTTATATATCTGTATACTTCACGTAAAAATATATGTGTTTTATATTATATACATTGGGGGCTCACTTTTCTGTTATTCATAAATAAATAGTTATATATTTACTTGGGTTCATCATTAACAGCAAAAAAAAAAAAAAAAAAAAGAAAAAGAAAAGTAAACAAATAATGGTCATAATGCATGTATATATATATATATATATATAAATGTAGTATCGAGACATTGAAGAGGTGTCGGAATATATGTTTATACGTATAAAAAATAAAAGATTCGGGCGACGAACTTGTTGTGCGACAATGATCATGGAAAGTGATAAAAAAAAAAAAAGAAAGAAAGAAAAAAGAATGCATCATTGACGAACTCAAATAAGAATGAACGTTATTTTAAAAAAAAAAAATAAAAAAAAATAAAAAAAAAAAAAAGAAACTTGGGAAGAAGGGAGAGAAAGAAAGGATGAGAGAAAATGAAGAGAAGAAAGAGATTGGTACATCACTCTTCACCACATTTGTCGTATAATGTTCTTTCGGATCGCAGACTGTTTGCGGAAGGGAAGGGGTTTATTTACATCATCAACGGATTGTGTATGTAATTGTATATGTGTATATATATCTTGTGTCTGTATAACATGGAGAAATACTTGTAAACAAGCAGAATAAAACAGGTAAAACTAAGGAGAAGAGAGCATAGAAAAGAGTCAATGGTGCGATAACCAATAGGGAGATAACCAATTGCGCGATAATCTCACGACAGATAGACAGGACGAGCCAAAACGACGACCCGTCTAAAAAAGAGAAAAAGAGAGAGATAGACAAGCATGCAATGCACTGCACGTTAAGAACGAAAAAATCAAGACAGCAATGTACTTTTTGGAGAGCCAGAACATGATTGGATGGATTGGAAATGAGAAGCAGGAAATTAGTCCAGGCCAGGAACCAAAGGAGGAATCTTCAGGAGGTCCCATTTTCTTACTTTCCATGCCATGCCCATGCCATGCCATGCCATGCCCACATGTGTCCAAATGCATGTACATGTACACATGGGACAGGGCACTCTCAAAACAAATATGCAGACTTGCAAAAACTGTACTATATATTTACCACCATACTCCTACAAAACAAACGCAATAAAGAATGCAAGACCATTCTCGACTCCGACGAGCTGTGCCTTAGAATCTGTGTCTGAATAGCCATGCCATGCCATGCCATGCGGTAACCAACAAAAAAAAAAAAAAAAAAAAAAAAGTATATAAACAACATGGCATTGCATGGCCATCGCAAACGTTTTTTTTTTTTTTTTTTTCTTTTTTCTTTTTTCCATCTTTCTGGGTATATGCTTGAAGTCTTTATTTCTTATTTTTTTATTCTTTTTTTCCTTTCTTTCTTTCAGTTCGTTAATACTTCATCTCTTCATCGCATTAGCATTATTCAGTTCATTTGACATTCATTTCATTCCATTCATTTCACACTTTATTGCATTGCATTGCATTATTTTTCTATTTTCTAGTTCTTGTCTATTCTACTTGATCTTCTGTTCAGTCACTGCAACCAATCTGTTTTATTTAATTTTTTAATTTAAATTATTTCATATCTCCATATCTCCATATCTCTATCCTCCTGTACTCCAAACTAATTGTATAACATTCACATCATCCATCCAACAACAACAGCAACAATAACAAATACAAAATACAGAACCAAATCAAAAGCAACAACCATGACGGAAAGACGCCTGACCAATCCTTCATCCTTCACAAGAACCACATCCTCTATATCAACTGTCCACAGCGCATCCTCATCTACTATCTTCCAATACCCAGGTTTTCATGAGGAAACACCGACGTTCAAGGTGTTGATCGTCGGTGCAGGGATTGGAGGGTTGATGTTGGGTCTCTGCCTTGAGCGTGCCGGGATCGATTATGTGATCCTGGAGAGGATGCATGATCTTTTGGACGCACCCAGGTCAACAGTCAAGTTAGCAGCCAATACATTGGGGGTGGTTGAACAGCTTGGGTTACTGGACGAGGTCATGAAGATTGCAATGCCCATTTCGGGCCTTACGTTGCGCAAGCACAATATGTCTGCCGTTGGCAAGATTGACTTTTCGTTCCATAAAGAGAGGTAAGCATCCTTATAACAATGACAATTAGCAACAGATGCAACAGATGCAATAGATGCAATAGAAACAATAGAAGCAATAGCAAACAGCAAACAGCAAACAGCAAACAGCAAACAGCAACAGCAAACAGCCCAATTGCTTTTTTATTATGCGATGCAGTGCTTCTATTGAGCACAATCATTACAAACACATAAACAAAGACACAAAAAAGGCTTTAGGGACGTTAGGGCGCAAAGTTATAAGAACATTCATCAGAGCCTGTTAAAAAAAAAAAAAGAAACAAAAAGAAACAAAAAAAAAAAAAAAAAGTTGTGATACAGTGATATGGTGATACATAATATGTGCAAGATGACAATATGATGGTAAATTTGTACTACAGGACCATGGAAGTGGATTTCAAATCGGAAGCTCGAGTAACGTGTTTTATGTAGGCGGGGAGGAGGAGAAAAGAGAGAGAAGAAAAGAAAATGGCGCATAGTCAGTTGAAAGGATGGGATTTGGCCCAATCCTTTGCTCTCGTGCTACGACCGATGGTCAATTGTCCCAATCATTTTATTTTATTTTATTATTTTATTTTATTTTATTTTATTTTATTTTATTTTCAATCATAATCGCCCCCCATATCCTCACAAATGGAATATGGAAAATGGAAAATGGGAAAGAAAGTTTAAAAGTTGAACTTTCCAAGTCAAAAAAAAAAAAAAAAAAAGAAAGAAAGAGCAGAGCCAACGACCGTTAAATTATTTAATCTGATTTGTATTTTATTCTTATTTTAATTCTGATTTATTTTGATTTCAGACATGGCCATTACTCCTTTATCGTACAGAGAACAGAGCTTTGTCAGCTCCTCATCTCGAGGATGCGTAATGATCGGATCCAATGGGGTCGAAAGGTCCTCGAGATTGTCAGCGGCAATGCCGGTGTCCAATGTCGTTGTGCCAATGGACATGTCGTCCAGGGCGATGTCCTCGTCGGAGCAGATGGTGCTCATTCTGCTGTCCGTCAAAATCTCTTCAAAACTCTAAAGTCCAAATCGCTTTTGCCTAAACAGGACATGGAAAGTCTAAAGTTTTCGCAGAATGCTCTTAACGGTTTGACCAATCCTTTGGATCCGGCTCGCTTCCCCGATGTCGCCAAGACCTTTTGTGAAGTCCATATCATCATCGGAAAGGACTCTCCCTCTCCACACACTGTAAGTACCTTACACTGTTTTAACTCCAATCTCTCTCGCGCTCTCTGGCTCTCTCTGGCTCTCTCTCGCTCTCTCTCGCTCTCTCTCTCTCTCTCTCTTTGCATTGTATATTGATTCTTATTCTTTCACCTCTATCTAACAACCCGCTTCAATGTCTCTCTTCCTTTATATATAAATGTATATAGATGTGGCTATCCGCAGTGTCTGGAAACAGAATCACTTGGTGTGTCACCGGACCTTTGTTGACATGTAACAAGTCTGAACAAAACTTCATGGTCTCACAGTATGGACCTGAAGAGGTTGACAAGGCATGTCAACTGATTGAGGATCTCGAGACTCCCTTTGGAGGGAAACTTGGTGATCTGATTGCAGAGACGCCAAGAGAGAATATCACAAAGATCTTGGTTGAAGAAAAGCATTACAAGACATGGTATCATGGACGAACGGTCTTGATTGGTGAAGGTGGGTCCTTTATTTCCTCAAGTTTAAAAAAAAAATCAATCTATCTCTCCCACGTGAATAAGTTACATCTAGACCTGTCTTTTGCTAACCTGTTCTGCTTTTTGTTTGCTTTGCTCTTTTGATTTCTTCATTTGGCTCTTATTCTTTGATCAATCATCAGCCTGCCATAAGGTAAACATCTGTTTAAAAGAAAAAAGAAAAAAGAAAAAAGAAAAAAGAAAAAAAAAAAAAAAAAAAAAAAAAAGTAAAAAGGCATCAGCCCTGTCATTTACAGACCTTTGTTTTTTCGATCTTTAGCTAACTTTAATATAAATATATTTTTATTCATATCCTATTCTATCCAGTTTGTATCTTTTGCAGGCCAGGGTGCAGAACAAGCGATATTGGATGCAGTTTGTTTAGCAAATCTGTTCAGCAAGATCCAAAGTCCCTATCCTCTAGAAGCTATCGTAGAAGCCTTTGAGGCTTATCAGGAGACGCGTTTGCCATTGATCAAGATTTGTATGCAATCAGCAGGTCAGACTGCCAAAGCACTCAATGACCAAGGCCTGGCATCTGACATGAAACGGAGGATCCTCTTTAATTTACCACTGTGGATGCGAGTCATGTCAGTCGATAAAACACAAGTGAGACCACAGCTTGAGTTTCTACCTTTTGTCCCAGATCGGGGGTCAAGGTCTATAAGGACAGCAAGCCTTAAGAGCGTATAATAATAATATACACCACATATCTACATATTTATACAGTATTTAATATTTAATATTTAATATTTAATATTCCTCTCTCCCCCTACCTTTACTCCTTGACATATTCCATCATTCACGACATTTTTATTTTATCATACCATTCCACTCTTAACGTTGCTTTCATAGATTTTGTGTCCCCCCTCTTGTATATACTATCGCCCTTAAGACAAGCCACCCTTTGTTTTCTTTTTTTTAAAAAAAAAAATAAAAAAATAAATAAAAGTAAAAAAATAAAAAATAAGAAATAAAGGTACTTACTCTCTAATACCTTCTTCACTTCCTTTATCATTCGTCTTCTTTATCCCTTCCTTCCTTCCTTTATTCCTTCCCATTTTTCATTATACATTACATACTTTATTATTCTATTTATTTATCTCCGTAAAGCTTAGTCATGACTCGATACACAAAGTTGGAACGGAAGCGCCACGTGGACGCCTCAGAGTCCTTCACTGTCACACCATTAATGCCTTCGAAGGTAGTAAAGTCAACCGACAACCCAACACAGCAACCACAACAGCAACAGCAACAGCAACAGCAACAAAAACCACAGGTATCTAACGAAAAACCGTCAGGGTCATCATCATCATCATCATCATCATCATCAGAGAAGGCCAAGGAAACCAAAGCAGAAGGAAACAAAACGAACAGTAAAAAGAGAAAGGCCGAGACAGAGCCAGAGACTAAGGCAGAAACAAAGACAGAGACAAAGGCAGAGACAGCAGCATTAGAAGTTGAACCATCTAATGAAAATGAGAAAAAGAAGAAGCAAAAGAAGAACAGCAAGAATAAGAAAGGCAAAGATAACACTGGAAAAGATGCAAAATCGGAATCAAACATGGGTAATTTTTTTTTTTTTTTTTTTTTTTTGTAAACTATTTCAAGGAAGGAGGAGGAGGAGGAGGAGGAGGAGGAGGAGGAGGAGGAGGAGAATCAATCAATCAATTGTTTTGCAAACTCTTATTTTTTTCCCCCTTTTCTTCATCTCTAATCATCTCTTTTATAGATAATTCAACCAGATCAGAGAGACGTCGCTTGAGGAGACAGAAGGAAAAGGCAAATGCCTCGGTAGGTTATTTTATCCCTTCCTGTGAAACAAGACACACATCCCTACCCAATATATATATATATTTTTATTAACCCATCATGAACTATTTTTTAATATTATTGTTATTATTATTATTTTTATCATCATCATCATGATATGCTTATAATGATTAAAAGATATGTTTTGCTTGCCGCAAGACAGGACATAGTGCCAAGAACTGTAAGGAGACCACAGGAGAGGTTGGGATGTGTTATAGCTGTGGATCATTAGAACACACGACCAAGGATTGTAGAAAACTCTCAAAGGATGGCAACAAGTTCAAGTTTGCGACCTGTTTTGTTTGTAAGGAACAGGGACATCTTGCAGGGAAATGTCCCAAGAACGAGAAGGGGTTATACCCCAATGGTGGATCCTGTCGATTCTGTGGGAAAGTGGATCATTTAGCAAAGGATTGTAAATTGACCAAGGAAGAGGTCGGGACTCTGACGGTGGGGAAGATTGATTTGGTTCAAGGAGCGGATGATGATGATTTCCATATCTTTGTGGATGAGAAACGAAAGTTGACCGAGGAACAAAAGGCGATCAAGAAGATTATCAAGACGAATAGTCAGAGTAATGCAAAAGCAGTTAAAAAAGTCGTTTCTTTCTGATAAAAAAAAAAAGTAATAATATATCAGAAAAACTAGTTCTATGAATGAATGGATGAACGATAGCTTATGTTCTCGGGTTTCTTACTGTAAGCTGAGCTTTGACTTTTTGTCTGGCGCCTTTCCTATCCTAATATCCTAGGCGAAGGGAAAATCCTGATCCAATTTTCTTTTATGTACCCCACCCCCACGAGTGTGTGCACGTGCTTTGTGACCTTTTATCACAATTTAAACAACAACTTTTTTTTTTTTTTTTTTTTTTTTTTCGGTGGCTATCCATCACAAACTTATTTTGTTTTTTTTTTTTTTTGTTTTTCATTCATTCATTAAAAGACAAAAAAAGTGCAACCAACACACACATTCCATGTCTGACGAGAAAGCCGAGTCTACTGTTCAGGAGGATCAACAGGAGCAGGTTGAAGCTCCACAGAAGAAGGGCAAACAAGGAAAATATCGCAGAGAGAAACGTGAGTGAATCCGTCGAGGACCTCTTCTTCCTTTCTTCCTCCCTCCTTTCTCTTTCGCCATTCTTTTTTTTTTTCTTCTTCCATTCAATTTTATCATATTTATCATGAATTGGCTTTATTTGATTGCATAACTGGATCAAACAGGATTCTTCAAAGAAGGATACCAACAATATAACAGCAGTTAGTTAATGCTGTTAGGAAGGCTGGTGATGTGGCTGATGCCTTACATATATATTCAGGAGAAATAACAAACGCAGCAGCTTATATAATAATTGCTTCTTATCGCGAGACCTTTATATCTAATCCAATCCCTATATATATAGATATATATATATTTGCGTATATCACTAACGAATAATTGATTTTATTAATTTTTTTTTTTTTTTTTTTCCCCCATTTCAGCATGGGACACAGATGATATTGATCACTGGAAGATTGAGGAATTCAAACCGGAATTTAACCCTGCACCGTTCACAGAGGAATCATCCTTTGCGACCTTGTTCCCCAAATACAGAGAAAACTATCTGAGGGAGGTATGGAGTCATGTCACCCGAGCATTGGAGAAGGTCGGCATTGCCTGTGTCCTCGATTTGGTCGAGGGTAGTATGACCGTCAAGACCACCCGTAAGACTTGGGATCCTTATATGATCCTCAAGGCTAGAGATTTAATCAAACTCTTGGCTCGTAGTGTGCCTCTGCCACAGGTATTAAAAAAAAAAAAAAAAAAAAAAAAACTCTTCTTTGTCATCGTCTTCAACTTGTGCATATTATATATGTAACAGATTATCGCTTGATTTATTTACTTTTATTTATATATATATATATATATATATCCATATCTAGGCCCTCAAGATTCTTGAAGACGGGATTGCATGTGACATTGTCAAGATTGGCAACATTGTTCGAAACAAGGAACGGTTTGTGAAACGTCGACAACGTCTGTTGGGACCGAATGGATCGACATTGAAGGCAATGGAGTTGTTGACACAATGCTATATTATGGTTCAGGGAAACACGGTCTCTTGTATGGGACCCTACAAGGGACTAAAAGAAGTTCGTCGGATCATCATTGATTGTATGAATAATATCCATCCGATCTACCATATCAAAGAATTGATGATCAAACGAGAGTTGGCAAAGGATCCAAAGCTGGCAGAGGAATCCTGGGATCGGTTCTTGCCCCATTTCAAGAAGAAGAATGTCAAGCCGAACAAACAAAAGAAGGCCTCGAAAAAGGACAAGAAGGATTACACTCCCTTCCCACCAGCTCAAACCCCAAGCAAGATCGATCTACAATTGGAAAGTGGAGAGTATTTCCTCAAACCCAAGGAGAAAGAAGCACGTGCTATGGAACGGAAGAAGGTAAGAGAGAGAGAAAGAAAGAAAGAAAGAGAGAAAGAAAGAAAAGATGTTTGATATTTTTATTACTGTTATCATTATTGTTCTATAAGTTTCTTTATTCTGATTGTTGTTTGCTTTTTTATTTTTTTATTTTTATTTTTTTGCCCCCCAGGAGGAGCAAAAAGAAAACAGCCTCAAACGTCAAGCAGAACGCGAATTGGCTTATATCCCACCTGTGGAGGATACACCCAAGAAGAAGAAGAAAAAGTCTGCGGAAGCATCATCATCATAATAATAATAAAGGAGACATGCATAATTTTTTCTTTTTTTTTTTCCAAGCAAATCTTCCAACTTGATTTTTTAATTATTCAGTAAAAAGATCATCCAAGTCAAGAAAGGAAGATAATAATAATAATAATAAAAAAAAAAAAAAAAAAAAAAAAAAAGCATCAACATTTTTTTGAATTATTATTAGATTTTTTTTAGAGACTCTCAAGCTTGTTTGTTTTTTTTTTGTTTTTTTTTTTACCCATTATTATTATATAAAAGTGTGTAATGTAGGATGATCATGGCTATCATTATCGTTATTAAAGAAAAAGGAATGTTATGTCAACTCCCAGAGTTGAATCATAAAAGGATGCAGGAAAAAAAGAAAAGAGGAAAAAAAAAAAAAAAAAAAAAAAGACTCTAGCCATCAAGGCAGAGTTGGAGTGATATTGAGTAAAAAAAAAATAAATAAATAAATAAAAAAAAATGCAATACCAAAAACTGTTGAGGTTGAATTGTAATAGGAATGATGGCCAACAATTAATAATAATAATAATAATAATAATAATAATAATAATAGTAATAAAAAGGTTGAGGATGAGGATGGTGATGGTGTTGGTGATAGCGATGACGATGACGATGACGACGACGATGACGACGACGATGATGACGGTAGTAGAGTGAGCAGCGATAAAGTCATGAGGATTTGATTAAAACAAGAATTATAAACATTCTCTAATTTTTTTTTTTTCTTTTTTCTTTTTATGACCAGTCCTCACGACGATTTGATCGCAAACTCTTGTTTGGATTGAAGTTTGAGGACCCAGATCCGGTTTGGTCCATTGAGGGGCGATCTGCAGAGAGAGAACCTCGACTGGCTGCATAATCATCCGCATAACTCTGCACACCCCCTAGGGCCTCACCCGATGATCTAGGAAGAGCCTGTCTAGTCATCTCAAAGCTCCTCATGTCACCCCTGCTCGCCCCCTGTCTTGGACTGGATGTCGTGACGGGTGAGGAAGTGGTGCCATCGTCTTGACTTGGTCTTCCTGCCAATGCGGACACAGCTGCCTGTTGAGCATTCTCAGCATCTTGTCCAAACAGGTCACCGCCTCTTAATTGATGTTGACGGGGCGACTCTTCTAGTAGGGCCTGAGGATTATGACCGCGGAATTTGCTACGAGGACTACCCACGGATCCTACAGCAGTATCGGATGAATTCTCAAAATGGTTGAGTGAGTTCCTTTCATAACTCAGCGTGCCAGAGTACAATTCATTATTATCTCCATAACCATGTGCAGTACCAGCTGAAGCGGGTCCTGGTCCTTGCTGCTGATCATAACCGGGATAGTCATAGCCCTGCTGATAATTTAATCCTGTTGTTGCTCCTGTTGCTGCTCCTGCTCCTGCTACTGCTCCTGCTGTTGCTCCTCCTACGGCTGAAGGGTCAGGAGCCCACATATCTTGGGGTCCAACATATCCATTTGGATTATACATCATACTCTCATCATAATAACCTGTTGCAACCTCACCTGAAGGTCGACTCAGGTCATCGCCATTCCTATACATGATCTCGGGCAAGTTATTCTGATCATATCCCATCCCACGACCCCTGCCCGTGGCGCCTGAATATGCCAAAGAATCTTCCTGGAAAATGGAAGGGTTGGTTTGATAACCCTGCTGGGTTGCTCCATAGGGATCATATCCCATATCACCACCATATCCTCCTCCTCCCATAGGATGAGCGCCATATCCTGGATGAATACCCCCACCGATGTTTGATTGGTTTTCATAGTCATAACCGTAATCGTCATATCCAGCATTTCCGTATCCGTTCGCTCCTCCTGCCACGGCTCCGGCCATGGCTCCAGCCCCAGCCCCAGCCGCAGTTGCTGTTTCGGATCCAATGGTGTGTCGTTGATTAGCACGTGCATCGGTTGCACTCATGCCCTGTAAATTATCAAATGTCAGCTCATGGCTCTGACGTTTCTTGCGTCGGTAACAGATAATGGTGGTTGCAGCAATAATAATTAGAGCTAGAGCACCAACGACAGAGCCAACGATCACGGGAACATTATTGCGGGGTGATGGATCGCGACTTCCTGGAGGGACAATCGGTGTAGGGTTTGGAGTAGAAGTAGGACTAAAGGAAGAAGGAGAGGAGATGGATTGGGAGAATGTAGGAGGGATGACAGGACCGTCAGTGGAAGGGGAGGGAAGAGAGGTAAAAGTGGAGGAGGCAGAAGAGGGGAGGGTAAAGGAAGTAACAGGATCGGTTGTGGTGGTGTAGACTGGATCGGTCGTTGTTGTCGTTGTTGTTGTTGTGGTTGTGGTTGTGGTTGTTGTGGGCGCTGCTGTCGTTGTAGGTTCTTGTGTTGGAGATGGTTGTGTTGGCTAATACGATAAGACGGAACAACAAAACAAAAACAAAAAGTTAAGATTAAGAGAATAAAAAGAATAATAAGAAAAATAATAAGCAAAAAGCATATGGATGATGCAATGATTATGATAATAATGAAAAATAAAAAATAAAAAAACTCTGGGTGAGCAAATAAATAACTAAAAAAACTAAAACTAAAAGAGACATACTTCCTGTGCCTGAACAAGTCCTGCTGCAGAAAGTAAGGATACCATGCTCCACCAAGCAAGAACAGACGAAGGTGATAATTGTTTCCGCAACATGATCATCTGAATCATGATCAAGATGAATGTCGAATTCGATCCCAACGTTCAATTAGAGGAAGGAAGAATAAATAAAATTAAAAATAAAAACAATTAAAAACAATTAAAAAAAAAAAAAAATGAAATAAAGTCAGTTCCAGATATACGCCAAATGTTTTATAAAAAATAAAAAATATAAACGGTTTTTTTTTTTTTTTTCCCCAGAATTTGACGTACTCAAAAGATTTAATAAAAAATAAAAAAATAAAAAAAATAAAAAAAGGGGGGGGGGGGGGGGAGGAAGGAGAAGGAAAGAATTAAAAGAATGAATAAGGAAGAAAGTGAGAAAGTAAGAGAGAGAGAAAAGGTGATTAACGTGTAAGGGAAGCGAAGAATGAGACAAAGAGGAAAGAGGAAAGAGGAAAGAGGAAAGAGGAAGAGAAGGGAGAGAAGGAGAAGAGAGTAAGAACGTAAGAGTGTAAGAGAGTGAATAGGAAGGAGGCAGGGGATGGTGCAAGAGAACAAACAAAAAGAGGAAAAAAAAAAAAGAAAAGAAAAGAAAAGAAAAGAGACACTCAATGGGGATAACAAAACAGAAGAGAAAAGGGAGAGAGAGTTTTTTTTTTTTTTTTTTTTTTTTTGCTCTGTTACTGAGTATAGATGTACCACTTCCATCGCCATGGCCCTTCCTCTCTCTATTTCTTCTCTCTTGCATGCATTCAAAAAAAGAAAAGAGTAAATGTTTCTCTCAGTTCCTGGGGCGTCAAGGCACTGATTGCACCCAATTGCATCTGCGTCAGCATTTTCCTTTCTATTTCCATCAACACAACAAAAACAACAAAAACAACAAAAAGGGCAACAAATTGTCGGACGAACAATGTAATGTACACCAAAAAAAAAAAAGTCTTGGGAACCTGTCGATTTTTGGAACCTGACAACATTTTACAATCCTTACACATGTTCCTTTTGGCTCAACAACAAAGGAGCATCCAAGGGTTATGGGTAACACAATCAATGTCCAGCCCAGCATTTTACTCCGCAAAAAAAAAAAAAAAAAAAGAATAAAGGGCGCAGAGGAAGGACCCCAGCCCATAAAATCATCCATTGAAGGATCTTTGAGCCCTATGTGCGCCCAATTCGAGTTTCGTTTATTATATATTCATTCATATATAACATGCAATAACTAATGATATCTTTGGCGGCGTACTGCGAACATTTCGATTTCCTCCGCTGTGTTATTTCATTGCTGACCGATAAATCGAAAAAAAAACCGGTTCTTGACCCCATTCCTCATCTTCCTTCAACTTCTTTCTTTTCTCTTTTCTTTTCCTTTCTTTAGTGAACACAGGAATGCCTGTGCGTGTGATCAAAAAGTAAAAATAAGGGGGGGAAAGACAGAAGAGGGTTAAAGTAGCCCTTTTTTAAAATTGAATGTGGTTCGGATCCCATCCACCCATCCACCCATCCACCTATCCATCCACTTTTTTTGTTTTTTTAAACTTCTTGTTGCTCTTCGCTCACTTGCTTTTACATGCCTTTTTGTTAATGCTCTGGCTCTCTCTCTCTCTCCGATTTAAAAAACATGTTATACCTACTTCTGTCTCTTTATATTTATATAAATCTTCAACAGGCAACAAGCATTCAACATTCAACATTCATCCTTTAGTCTGCATCTTTTTTAGTCCTCTGGTTACTCGGACTCCTTAATTGCCCACCATGCATACACCACTAAGCTCATTAACGCATGCATATACTTGAATATTTATTTCTGGCTCCCCCCCCCTACTCTTCCCCCCCTCCCTTTCCTATCACCCTACTCCCCTCTCTTTCTAGCCTTTACATCCATATTCTCTCTCTCTCTCTCTCTCTCTCTCTCTCTCTCTCTCTCTCTCTCTCTCTTTCTCGCTTCCAATATCCTTATTTATCTTTTTTCTTTTTTTTTTTTTTTTTTTTTTCTTGACCTTTATATCAAAGTGTATACTCATATTTTTATACGATATAAATATACATTCTGCAATGAACAGAATCAGAATCAGAAACAGTAGCAGTATATAAAATACCACAGCTACACACACACACATACCTTTGCCCCATTTTTCCTTCTTGTGTAATCTGAATGAGAGCAAAAACACTTGACCTCCCAATCCATCAACGAAACACTCTTATTGGACCATGTGTATGAATATCTATATTTCTATCTGTCTACCTACTGTATATATATGTATGTATATAATATCTATATTCAGGTATATATATATATAAATATATACATTCATATCACCAGATTGGAATGTTACCCTGAACTGTAACTGCACGCTCGTAAATTTATAATTTATTGATGCATATCAGGAATCTCCCCTCTTCTTCTTTTTTCTTCTGGCCCCACTGACTGATGTTCTATCGGCCTTTTCTGTTCTCTTCCCTTCGGTTGCAATTAAATCTATATATCGCCCATTTCATGCCATCCCATGCACCTTCTATCTCTTCAAAACCATCAAAAGCATGTGCACACATCTGAGCAAAAACCTATAATTATCTTGAATCAATCATCATCGTCAGACCACATCAAATCTAATAAAGTAATATTAGTAATAAAACATTCCTTCAAAATAAATTATAAAACGCGCCACGTGTACATTGTCCGTTGACTGCTGCGGCCATCTCATGTTTTCTTATTTTTTTTTTTATACTTTGCTTAACCTTTATTATAGTAATTTTTTTTTCTTTTTTTTTTCTTCCCCTTTATTTTTATCATGTCAATAGTTTGAATATGCAAATGGATGTTTGTTTAGTCATGCAATAGAGGTGCAAAGCAAAATAAAAAAAAAAAAAAAAAAAATCAGGACCAAATGGAGATATTTACAATCAATGCTTCAGATCATGCACCAATTTTTTCAAGAACTGTACTATTCTCCCCAATCCACTAGCATCCGGCCTCGTGCCGTTCTGACCATCATACTCTTCATATCCGCCTCCATCTCCTTTGTGCCCCCCCTCTGGCGGAGATCGAATCTCTAGATCCTGTGTTGTTGTTGTCTCCATTGCTTCCTCTGTTTCTCTAGGCCCTGCCTCCTTCGTAGTCGTCACCGTCACAACTGTTTCCATATACAAATCATCCTTCTTCTGCTCTCCCTGTTCTCCCCATTCTTCCCACATGCTCGTGAACGGGTTTGTCTGTCGATCGTTTGGAGACATCGATGAATCTCGCCAGAGACGTCCAATAGCCACAAATGGCCTCTGCCATGCTGGTATTCCCACCAGATCTAGCGACGTTGATTTAGTCTCCCTGAACGCCGCAGCATTCGCAATCATAATCATCAACATCACTGCCGCAATCGATGCCATCACTGGCTTCCACCATTTCCTCATCATCCCCGGCACCTGCTCAAACGACAACGGCTTCGACCACCAGAGTCCCATCTGTGAGCTGCCAGAGCCCGAGCGAATGAGTGCTGGCGATCCCACCTGCGGTGCAAGATTCGAGGTAGTAGCCCCGCCTTCTACCCCACTGCCTAGTCCATTAGTCCTTGTACTCAACACAGGAAGGATCTCACCATCCAACCTTTGTTCTGTCTGTGGGTTTTGAAGCTCAAGTGGTTGCTGTGGATGTCTTTGGCTAGTCTGCTGAATTACAACTACTCCTGCATTGAATGGCGGTTGCTGAGGGTCATGCGCTACAACAGCCGATGCCGCCCTTCCAATCTGCTCCAGCGATCCAGATACCTCTCCATACCCACCTGCTACATCCTGCGCTCTCTCCAAACCTTCATGCTCTATCTGATTCACATTCCATGTCTCAGCTGTGGCTCTCACAGTTCGAATAGAGAGTCTAGGCCGGCCTCGAATCATGTATGCCCCATAAGTAATCGTCCGCCGCTGGCCAACCTTACCGAGATTCGATATGACCTCAAAGTCTCCTGACGGCTCATCATAGTCTATACCTGTTAATAAAGAAAAAAAAAAAAAAAAAAAAAAAAAAAAATTGTTATTCCATGCATCATGACATGTGTAACTATAAATATAAAAAATGTCATATTTACCTCTAGCCAACTTTGGAAGGCTGGCAACAACCACATATTCCCCGACAGGCAGGGAAAACCCTGGCACAACCAACTTGATCCCCAAAGTCTCATCCTCCATATCTTCTTGATCACAGTCAAATGTATTAAATCCATAGCTTATCTCGATTTGATGAAGGTCATTGCCATTCAAGGATTCCTCAGGGATAGGGATCATCACTGTTCGCTGGCCAGCAGACTTCCTGTCCATATACATAATCGATTTCCCGCAGGGCTTTCCGTCAACTAACACGTTCCAAATCTCTGCTCCATCAAGCTGATATACACGTAGATATGGGTCATCATACTGAGGCAAGACAACGTTGGAGAGCGTAATCCTTGCAAAACCCGGCTGTCGTTGTCCACCAATGCCAATTTCCGCGCGAACCCTTTCAATCCTGGCAATCCGTGCTACAGCTTGATATCGTTGTGCAACAACAGCAAGTCGGTAATCAGTTGATTGGTATTGAAAATGCAATATGGACGGGTGCCTTCCCGAAAGACCCTCCTCTAGCTGAGAATGGCCATCAACATGAGATGTCTCCAGAAGACGCGCATTGAACCGTTGGATCATGAGGTCGCTACTCGCGTGAACATGGATGCGTCCTTTGTCCCAAGTCGCTCCATGCACATGAATCTTGGGGATGTTGCACAAGATATCTTTGCCATACCCCACACAGACAGCTTGGCCCACGCGGATGCTTATTTGAACTGTTGTCGTCCCTTCAGTGCCGGTGAAAAACCAAACACGGTATATTGGTGATGGATGATGATCATGATCTGTGCTCGAATCTTTGTCTAGATTATCAAGATATAAAGGCACGGTCTGTCCCGTTAAATCGGGCACTAGGCTTTCCCAGTCCTGTACAGCATCACCGGCTATGTCTAGAAGCGAGACGTCACTGGCATACCCATGCTTGATATCCTCTAGCTCAATTGAAAAATCCATGAATGGCTGTCTCCACCCTAGTTTCTGAATGCTCAAAGTCAGCGTACTCTCAGCTGAAATGGCAAGATCACAATCATCCAAGTCCAAATGTTGATATTCGATCAGCTCCTCTATTTGATCTGCTTGATCAGTTGCATGGCTTTCTTCTGGATCTTTACGCTTCCGATCCTGCAGTAGTGTTGATGACTTTGTCTGGTCAGGCATGCCCGAGATATGCACTATCATATCTTGTTCAACTTCCTGAACGAAATCAACAGCATCACGAGGTATCCAAGACACATGTAAGGATGAGCTGGGCGCAAAGCATCCAGCAATTTCGAATTCTGGCTTCGTCACATTTTCTGTCCCATTCCGTGTCTCTTCCGCCTGATTCTTGACAGCAGAGCCTTTGTCGTTGTCGCTTGCAATGAGTTTCTCCACAAACTGCCCACTGCCTTCTAGTAGCTCCTGAACCTCGAGCCAGAATTGAGCATCATCGTCTGATTCAGGATTCAAATGAGCTTCATCCAATGTAGATAAGATTGGATAAACATTAAACTCAAAACCGTTGCTGAAATTTTCATCGTCGTCACAGTGTGTTACATCCGTGTCTGTATTCGCCCGAGCTTCTACATTGATGCCATTTTCCTGGTTAAGAGACTGAGGGCTCTGAACTTGAAACTTGAGGAAGTTGCTTCTACACTTGGGAATGTGAGGTAGATGGATACTCCGGGAACCAGTACCCAAGACAAATGGAACATGAATGGACAACTGCACAAGGTAGTCGCCAGATCTGTTGGCGACAAAGCACAAAGCATTGGATAGAACTCCAATATGTGTCTGAGGCGTAGCGTTTCGAGCCGGCAATGATGAGACGGACGACATCGAAAGTGGTCTCTTTTTTGATGGTTGATCACTTATAGGTGAAGGTGCGGGTGAGATTGTCTCTGTTCGTTCTACTGTCGCCTGAACCCAGGATGTGTCTTTATCCGCTTTGGAATTTGCTAAGTCGATTTGAATCGGGCACAAAACATTGTTGTCAGTATGGCTGTAGTCATTGAAGTTTGTTTACATTATTCTTTTTTTTTTTTTTTTTTTTTTTAAGCGGCAGTTTCGTTTGCCTCTAATTATCTCCATACTGAGTTGAGGTCCAAAGTCATCGCTGTCTTTTTGATCAGCTGTGCCTAAATAGGTAACTTTCCAACGGTGAAGGATAGTGGACGTCGGAAGCAATGGACAGGTTGTCCAGATATCTTCGATGACGTGAATCTGCAGCACAGAAATAGAGCGTAGGTTAAGAGAATAGATGAGATGGCGTTAATAAATTTCATCCCTTGTTTCCCCAAAAAAAAAATATTTCAGCTGCTTTTAGCTTTTTTTTTATTTCCTCCTCTCCGTTACCTTTACTGCAATATCTAATTCCGCTCCAGTTGCAGAGACAGATGAGCTAGTTGATCCAATGATCTTGAGCTGCTTTCCGTAAAATCCTTGCTTGGGATGAGGAGTTGACGTGAAGGATTCTATCAGGTTCGACATCGCCAAGATCCTTGTATTTGCCATGAATTCTTTTTCTTTAGTTAAAACAGTTGTCTCAGGTGAAGTCGTAGATGTTGTCAACAGCCGTGCTGTGCTTGCTGTGCCCCCAGAGGTCCCTGAAGCAATGGACATGGACCGGTGTCGTGGATGAGCACTGCCTGTCCGCGTTAAAAATGAAAACGGGTGGACTGCTGAAGAACTTGTGGTTGCTGCTGCTGGGATAGTAGTAAATGATTGCTGAGTCAAGCGCTTGCGAGCATTTGTCCTGCTGTGTTGGCTTGAAAGGCTGTTAGAGCTTGATTCTCCATGGAAGCTGTTCCTGTTGCTAGCTTTTGGAATAGGAGCGTGATCCTCGGCAAGCATGATTTGAATGAACTGATTATCCTTCATAGTCTGATAGGACTTGGGTTTGATTTAAAAGGCAGCTCAACGGAAATAGACTCAAGACACAGTGGCGTCAAGAATCAGGTGCTTATGACCAGGCTTGATTGCAAAACGACTGTTCTCTGGTACAAGCTGAAAGAATAGGGAAGTCTAATCCTGTCTAGGGAACAAGGACAAGAGGAAGAGAAAAAAGGAAGCGTATGAAAGATAAAGGAAAAGGGAGGTGATTGTTGAAACTGATGATGTCAAGAATGGGAGAGCGAGAGTGCGTATGTGAGCGAACTGATGTCCGTAGTCAGTGAATGTCAAGCAATGAATGGAAGGAAAAAAAAAAAAAAAAAAAAAAAAAAAAAGAGAGAAAAGGAGAAAGAGAGGAGAAAAAAGGAGTCAACAAAAAAATTACACACAATGCTCTCCACCGCCCATTTTGCTCTGTCCAAGGGAAGGGTCGTTGCATAATTTGCCATGCTTGCTTACTATTCAATTTTGTTTACATTTACATTAACATTGCATCGACTGTTTTGTATTGTGGAGGAAGTTGAGGGTGGCTCTCCCATTCTTGTATTCAATACATCATTCTGGTCAGACAAAGCACCCTTTTTTTTTTTTTTTATTCTTTTGGTACCATTTAAACATGAGGAAAAATACTCCTGCATCCAAACTAAACCACAGTTCTCTCATCATTACTTGGCTTGCGGCGATATTCCAAATTTGGATTCATGCGGCACCGAAACATTTGTCTGTTTGGAAACGCCATAAAGGGAGCTCATTCTATGAACACATGTGGAGTATATTATAGATGGTTGCAGGATAGGAGTTCAGGAGAGTGAAAATAAGGATTTACATTAATATGCAATCAAGGTGTCGTAAACATGGCACAAATCGTAGATACGGGATCTTCATTGTGCATCCAAAGAAGTTTTTTCATTAGGTTGTAAAACGGAAAGATTTTTTTTTTTTTTGTTCATGCATTAGATGAGCAAAATAGGACTATTCCATTGCCGGTGCATTCGAGATCAAGATGTCCATATCAAATGTCGTTGACAACTGCAAGGAACTCACCAAACTCGAGAAGGGCGTTATGTATAGGGTTGTCAACGCTTATTAGCTCATGTTCTGGAGGATACTGACCCTCGATAGCATTGTCATAAAACACGAAATGGCCCTCTAGACCTCAAAGAAGGGCTCTCCTCAATAGCCAAATGCTCAAATGTTTGTTTCTGTACGCAGTATAAGGGATGAACCTCGATGGTTGGTTTGGTCTATGATATCTAACGCGTACACTAAGATCCTTCGCTTTCGATATGAGATTGTTATTTTAGCACTTGTAGTCCACTGTTATAGAGATTGGCGTCTATATTATAAATGTAATTGTTGTTCTGTCGAGCCTATTACAAAATACACCCGATAAATAACTACTTCTTTGCATCCGACACTGTTGCGCAGAAGACCATCCGTACAAGATCGCCTGTATTTTGGATATGCTTTGTCGTGTGGCCCGTCAAGGCCGCGTCCAGACTGCTTCATATTTTGTGGAACCAACTTCTTGACGTTTCAATCCTGGACTTCTGTTTGAGAGACAACCTAATCTTACCTTCAATAGGCATAATTCAGGACTTTTTACCCCCTTGCCTTCTGGGAATGGCCAATTCAAGCGTCAATTGATCCACACTAAAGTAGGGAAGTTCCTTGCATTCAATCTGCCGTGCTGAGAGTATATCATAAATGAAAATCCGGCTTGGATGGCTCCGCATCATTAGGGAAGCTACTCACTTGTCTTTAAGTGTTTTAGTGGACGTTCTTTGGCTGCCTTAGTAGCAGCAGTCTGTCATGATTAAGATCGAATAAGTCCTTTGGTGGCCTTTATTTGGTATGGTTAGAGCCATATTAGCTTTATTTATAATGATTTGAAAGACAACATCGTCAGTTAGGCCTAGCGCTTTGTGTTAGAGGTCACGTAGATTTTAGTTGCTATTTCCGACATCATTCTTGCTGGCAACCTGAAATGTGGAAGAGAGCGAGTGAAGGATTGAGAGACTATGTATGAGAGAGTGAGAAAGTGAAGGGTTTTGCCACCAAACACGTTGGCTAAGTTTACGGAAAATGTGCCATGTGATTGTATCTTGGTGTGGCTAGATTTGCCAAGGCTCACTCATAACGAAATGAAAATAGAAGTACATGTACATGTATTAAGTCATCAATACATCTTCAATGCTTATTTGTCATGTTTTTCATTATTTATTACCGTATATTTTTTATAATGAACTTGTGTTACAAATAACACGAAAAGAAGTCATTAGGGCATGTCAATTCATGGTGTATATCGAACTATTTATCGTAGAATAGTGAGTTGAATGTTGATCCTCCTCCATCAGTTATCTGAACGTCTAGTCTATGTCTCCACAATGCTTTGAACCCACTCCAATGCCTACCTGATCCTTCTTGATTCTGATCCTCTGTGAGCCCGTGGTGAAATTGCCTTTTAACTTACTAGGATGTTCCCACTCTAACTCCCTTAATGCATATTCTCTTTGAACGCTGACCCCAAACTGAGCGCAAGACCTTGTAATTCATTCGGACACTTGTCTATGCCGGATGTTTGTTTTAAGTAGTGTATCGTACTGATGCACACCCTCCTCCCATTGACTTTCTGACTATTTTTTAGAATACGATTGAATTGAGGCGCGAAGGCGATTTAAAAAAAAAAAAAAAAAAAAAAAAAACATATATTTCTCGTTTCATTTCTTAAATCAAGTGGAAATATTAAGTTTGTGGCCGCGATTGAATCAAAACTGAATAGAAAATCCTACTCAGAAAGTCATTGGGAGGAGATAAATTTTAGGAAACTGACAATCCAGATTCTCCCCCATTTTGAGTGACATTAACAATCATTTATTGCTTTTGATGGAGCAAGTTTTAGGTCCTCGATCCTTAGTCCCATTACCATCTCAACTGGGAGCGGAAGCGGGGGATTTCCCTCTCAGAGCCGCGGGATTCAGGGGGACCAAACCTATCAAGCTCCCAATGAATTGTGCGCCTTGGAGATCCATGAAGAGCAACAAGAGGAGGATAGACTCGGGCGGACGAGACACCGATAGAAAGATCCTCGCCATCAACCTGCTCGGGGTAGACAATATTGTAGTGATCTTCTTTTTCTCCACTCTTTGTGAGCTTCCATTGCTGTTCATACCAGGCAGCGAAAATAAAGGCACCGGAGCGAGCCTCTTGCACTCCGAGGGAACGCTTAGTCGCTGGATTCATGATGACGACATGGTCATCGTCAACGTATTTGATGTGCCAAACTTGCTCCAGGGATCTTCCATCAGGGAGCAAGAAAACAGGTGATTCATAATCTTTGTCATCCACAGTAATAAAATAAGAACCATCTCTGATACGGTAAACCCATCTTCGAAGAAAGCAGCAAGAGCCACTTGTAATAAAGCAAGGAGGGTGACCAAGGTGACTAATCGAACCATAAGCTGGAGAAAAAAAAAAAAAAAAAAAAAAAAAAAAAAAGACCAAACAGCGCAAAAGGTCAGCACTCAAATGTTCAAGAATATCTTGTTCATATTCAGCAATAGGGGATAAGATGAGCTTGCAATGGCTAGAAGTTGAAAACCCATACCTTAAATGTTGGTGCTTGTGAAAAGAGTTATTCTGTACTTTAAGAGGTGGATGTGTGTAGGCAAGACATCTGAGGAAGAATAAAAAATAGAAACGAAGAAGAAATGTTCTTTCGGTTCAGTTATTTTTTTTTTTCCCCATTGCTTTGAGCTCTCTCTTTTAGACCCTTTATAGGCGTCGGCTAACCACAATATGTGCTCTTAATTTCTGAACTACAAATTTGGTAGAGAGCGCGTATACGTCCAGAAAAAAAAAAGGTAATTGGCGCAGAGATGACGCGAATGGCCTGTAACAGGGTCAATGGGCATGCATGAAAAGGTAGCATGACTGCCTCTTCCCACTATGCATTGCAGCATCTTTTTTTTTTTTTTTTTTTTTTTCTTTGGCGCTTAGTTAGCCTTCCAAGCCTTAGTAAATCTGCGAATTACATAGCCTTTTAAGTGGTTAAATGGCGACAGATCATTGTGATTGATACGAGGGATCATTCATCTCCCACCTAAAATACGATCCTTTAAGGTAAAAGTTTTTTCCCTTCCAATTATTCACTTCCTAGATTCCATCCAATATCCACTTACCCATCTTCAAATGCCCGAATTGACAGAAGGAAAAAATGTAATTCTGTGAAAAAGACATATAAATAAATAAAGGTCTTTGGCATGCTACCACGCTGTTTCCACTGACATGGAAAACATTAAATGCATACAGCGCCACAAGGGTATTGAATCATCAATTATCTACTGGATACTGTACGTGAACCTTTAATATATGAAACGGTAGCCTGATCAGAATCCTGCATCTGAGACTGATGCTATTTGGTTATTATTCTGACCAGATAATATAGCGGGCCCAGTCTTCCCTATTGAGAGCCATTGGCGCGGAGAAGAAAGATCAAGCTCAAAGCATGTATAAGGACCATTTCCGATCAATAATCTTTGTATAAAGCAGAGAATAGTTTGATAGATAGAATGTTTAATCCTTTTTTTAAAGGAGCATGCATTGTAGGTATTGGCCTTCGCTTTATTTTAATATAAGTCACGATATTAGGGCATAAAGACAGATAAAGTGAGAAAAAAGTTGTTTGCTCTAGGTCATTGGAGATGGAAATGATTATTTCATACGATATCTAATGCACACTATGAGGTCCAAACCAGAGAGCTATGCTTGCCCGACTGAATAGATTGATTTTTGTAACAATATAAGAGAGATAAGGACAAAGATTAAGAGCAGGCACTGTCAGAAGGATCTGCACGCTCTGTTGGGCGCAAATGCTGATGTGATAGTGGATGATAGACTCGTCACCAGCTTGTGTGACTTTTGTGCATTGCACTAACGCTCACTGACAGGCTGGGACCAAACTTAAGATTTTAGGGGGGTCAACATTTTTTTTTTGAAATTTTTTCTAAGTCGTACAAACCGCAGAGAAAATTTTTTTTTTTTTGTGCGTCAGGTCGTAGGAACAACTCTTATTTTTTTGTCAAAGTCGTTTTTGTGCAGGGAAAGATTCTCTCTTTTTGCCAAAGTCATTTTTAGGCGGGGAAGGACCTGACTCATAGAACATGTTTCCTCATTTTCCTTCATTCCCCCCATCAAAGTTTCCTTCTCTCTTTTTCTTCTTTTCTTCATCTCTTTTCTCCTTCTCTCTCCTCTTTTCTCTTCATCTCTCTCCCTCTTTCTTCGCTGCACATTAAATAAATTTTATTTCTCAAATTAAAAATTAAAAAAAATAAAATAAAAAATAAAAATAAAAATAAAGATAAAAAAAAGCGCAACAAAAATGTCTACTGCCCAGCTACAAGACGTCTTTAAAACCATGAAAAAATATAGACTGTCACTCAGGGTCTTTTTGAACGCTTGTTTCCAATCACAAAGCCAAGGTATCCAGGATGTTGTTCAATGCTTTTATAGAGACAATGGGCCTGCTGAAGCTATCGATCTCTGGCAAAAAGAAATGAATCATTCATATCAGCGAGAGAGTACTGCCCGTGCCGCTGTTGATTTTGCCCTCGAATATATCAAGGGCAAGCTGAAACGAGCCTCTCCAGGATAAAGCCCTGCACTTTCCAGCGAATAGCATCACACAGGAAAAGATCGAAGGATTCGAGCTCGAGTTTGTTAGCGAAGTTTTCAAGAAGAAAGCCCCTGTTTTTCACCAGTTCTTGACAGACATTGCGTATACAAACAGTCATTGTTCGAAGGACCCGTCGAAAGCTGTACCTGTGGTTGCTAGTGTATTTGCATTCCTATACAACCGTAGATGCAACTATATTCAATCGATGCTAGGGCTGTATTTGTTCAGTAAGGGAGTTCCGCGTAAGGTCATCACACTTTTAGCATGCGCAGGATTGTCAGTATCTCATCAGTCCCTCATCAGAGGCATGGAGTCAACATCCAATGGCGCTCTTAAAAGTGTTCAGGCCAAAGTAAAGGCTAGCCCCTTTCTAATTGTTTATGACAACATAAACATGGCCCGCCGCAAGCATAATCAAAGACTTGACAACCAGGACTCGTTTGGGAGCGGGACTGCAGCGACACTCGTTACCACAAGCGTAACTGCAGAAGAAGAGCGACACACCGAACCCGCTCGATGTCTCCAGCTTAAAGATTTGATGCCTACGACGGCGAACGAAACGCATCTTCGAGAGACCATGCGATTCCACCTGGTCGATGTTCTGCGGAGAAACCTCAAGGGCTACGAAGAAGTGTCGATGCCTGTTCCATCGAAGCTGCTACTTCCGATTAAAAAAACGGAGGCTTTCCCACTACCATCAATGCACATTAACCAGGCCACGATTGACGGAAACAAGGATGTCCTGGAAACTATTATGGGACAGACTCTTAAGATACCCAGTGAGTGGTTCGATGGAAAAAGGGCGGTGGTTACTGGTGACCAGCTTACAGTGAGCAGAGTTCGTTCATTAAAAAGGCAACGTTGCGATGATGTTTCGACCTACCACAGGTTTGAGTGGGCGGTTCCTGTCATACAGCTTTTTCATCTGCAAATGGTCCTTTCTTCAACGATCTTGCGTACCCACTATGGTGACATAGGAGTTCCAGGATCGTTAGCATATTATGCAGCGAAATTAAGGCGAAAACGTGTCACCCCCGATCGGTTTGATTTCCATGCAGTAAATGAGCTTCTCTTTCACGCATTTGATGCAATGGTAATCCGTGCATGGCAGCTTGTCCAGGAATGTGAGGATCTAGCTGAAGACTCTATGTTTTTTCCCACAAGTGTGCTACAAGAGCTGAGCGAGAAGAATGTGAACAGGATTCTGGACAGGTTCCTAGATAAAGCCAACCGACCCCAGCTCAATGGAACTGTTTCTGATAATGCTGCTCTATTTATAAGAGATGCTAATCTACATAGAGTTCTCATCTGCTATCAAGGCTGGGGATGTTGGGCGCATTAGGGAGGCTCTGGTATGGATTACTCCCATTTGCCAAGCTGGAGGGACAAAGAACTACGCATACGAGCTCCTGGATCTTCATTGTGGCTTCAAATACGCCTGGACTGAATAGACAAGCCATGCTGTCATGTCTTCTTGGTTAGTGAATACTACAGGCCAGGAAAATCGTTGGATACCTACAGATCTTTTCCAAGAGCACAACAACTTGCTTATCAAAAAGATACGAAAGGCAAACGGTTCAACCTGGGATGAGAAACATGGATCAAGGTCTACCAATATTCACTCGCTCGGACAAATGGAAGACCAGATGAAGACTTCGTTTGGCGTCCCTTACTCAGGCACCAAACACGCTACAAAGAAAGCGGTCCATGATATCAATGAGATACTCGTATCCCTCAGGCAGTATGATATTCTTGAGTCCTATAGCAAAGATCAGCCTCCGAAATATCATTCACAGATTGCCAGCGCACATCCTGTAGCAGATCTCATCAAGGGAGGTTATGAGAAGATGCAGGGGACAAAACACCTCCAATCGTTCATTGAAGCGAGAACCCGTTCGCATGGGGGACCGCACAAAAATATAAACGATGAGGCGATGGAGGTTGACGGAGACGATGCTGTGGGTATTGTTTAATTATGTTTTATAGTCCTCACGAAATTATCATCCTGTTCCTGCCGTCCTCATGTCTCTGATCCCCTGTTGCCTCCATTGCGTCTATATCTTGCTGTCCCTATTGTGTTTGTACCTTCCTATCCCTGTGATCTCTATGTCCCTAGCTCCTACTGCTCTTGCTATCTTCAGTCGTTGCAATCTCCAGTGACTTGGCTAAAGTGTCATTTATATTACAGAACTGTAAGACCAGTGTAAATTAGTGTAAATTAGTGTATATTTTGTATGACCAGTGTAAATTAATGTATCTTTGTATTTTAATTGATTGAATATCTTCGAATGTTTGCTTAAACCAGATAAAGGCGGTCATCCGAATCCAAGTAGTCACCCAAGATCCAAAGAATTGAGCAATATCCAGAAGTTGGCGAAAGGCGCATTGATATCGATGGAAAGATCTTTGAAATATATTTAAAAAAAGTATGCAGTTTGAGGTAGTGAGGGGGTTGATCTTGTAGTTTTAAACACGTTGATCCAATATAGTTGGACAGATAGCTCGAGAATGGCGGTACATGGCTCACTCCACTTCCACATCCAAGCCAAGATACCAAAGCTCAATTGCCATAACTATGATTCAGGATCTCATCGTCAGCATTGGAAGAGGTGAGTGAATTGTTTAAGAAGGCATCCTGCAGTTTGAAGATACTTCGTGCATGATCCATCTTGACTTTATAACTTGGAGTCAAAACCTGTACAAGAGTGGCGTTATTACCATCTGGATATTCAAAGCTGTCCTGTGTCCAATAGCTATGATGCGCCTCGGCGGTGATATTGCGCAATGCTACCATGCGTTTGATGTTGAGGAGCAAGCAGCACAGCTTGAATTGCAATGAAAAAGTGCTCTTCTCTGAGCTCTTCTCTGAGACTCTATTCACCACAGTGTTGCTGAATTTGTTGAAGGTGGTCTGCATTTCCCCAAAATAGCTTTCAATCCTTGAGCGAAAGCTGCCAAACATGTCGTTATATCTACTCTCGCTGTCTGTCAATGCAATTCCTTTGCATTTGCGGATTGGGCAGCTGAAATTTGACGATTTCAATATTCCACTGCCTGTTATAATGCCCTCAATATACTGTGTATAGCCACCATCTAGAGCAATGCAATCAAGGGGATGGATCTTCTTCTCAATAGCCATTCTAGAAAGCATGGTTCCATCATTAAAATCGCGGCATTTACCGGGCTGAGATACAAAAACAACCATACCATTAATATCGCAGCATACCTGCGTGCGGAATCCTGACTTTTTGAGTTTGTATGAATACATGCTAACTTTATCTGCATTGATGTAAGCGACTCGGCTGTCATGACCATCGAGGTGCATCGTGATGTGTTGAATGACTCTGGATTCACATCCCGTGAAGAGAGCAAACGCAGCCTTATGCTTGAACACATACTTGCCAAATAGGCGGTCAGTTTCCCTTCTAAAACATGTGCCTCCCTGCCAAAAAAAGTCCTTATAGACATCATGAAACGAACTTTTGGGCAAGAATGCACCCATCTCACCAGTTGGAATACCTTTCAACAGCATATAAAGTATAAGCACGCCTTTCTCAGCATTCCTGTATGGGCCAGGATAAGGCCTCGTGCCAAAAATCACAGCCAGGAAAAAGTACACAGGAATGATGCCCAACTTGTTCTGTACAAAGTCTTGATCTTTCGAATATCTTGTATATCTTTGATCTCAGTACGGTGGAATTTGTTCCGCTCCACAGTCGGCCATTCCTCGTACAGGAATCCCCACTGCATTGATAACAATTTGTCAAATTCTGCATCCATTATCAAATATCACCAGTACTTTTATTTGCCTCAATTCATTTTATTATGTTGCTATCTCTAATCATCGCATTTCAAATATTCGTACTGTATATTTTTATGTTAGAATTCTACAGTATAAAATTAGGTCGTTCTCACTTTTGGCTACCCGTGCACGGACCAGGCTTAGCGGTGGGTAGACTTCCAATATTTTTTTTTTCTTTTATAGAATGCATTTGCAAGTCTACCCACCGGATAAACATTTTGCTGTGATTTAAACACACAATTTTTTTAAATATCAAAGGACATCTGCCGTAGTGAAGCAACCTTTGAGTAGTGCACCAGATGATATTTCGCACAGCGTTTGTTGACTCCCACAATCTTAACACCAAGCACATCATGTAAAATATTGTTTAGATACCCTAGTTGGTGTTTGAATATCCAATTATTGTGCGTTGGTTTCTTTCTATCCAGTGCTGTGCGAGTGTTATCCATTTCCTTCAAAACGCCTTCCCATATCCTTCTGATTCCTTCTTTGAGAGTCTGTGCTTGCACAGTATTACTGGCGAATACATCTGTGAATTCACATGATGTCATGATATCCGCTGCATATTGCAATTTGACATATCGCGAGCCTTCAAGATTGTGATGCACTTTGGTTTTTGGGCATAATCCTAGTCTAGCCTCCTCCCTTTGTCGGACAGCCTCTAGTCTATCTTCCAAAGTGGTGCTATTAGTGGTGTATAGAGAGCACAGGTTCTTGTAAACGCTTTTCTCTTTCTCATTATCATAATCCTTGACCCACTCAGGCGTCACAATGTCAGGTGTGGTTATATTGTAGGCTTTCATCAAGCGATATTTAGACACTGCATACTTATCTGCATGTGTGAGCTCAGGCAACTCGCACAACTCAATGAAATCCTCATAGGACAGGCTTCTTGCATTAGCTATCTGCTGATGGCGCTCATCTTTGATCCTAGCCAGTATTATTTTCTGGGACTTGATAATTGGATGGCCGATAATATTACTGAGTCCTGCTTGAAGAGAAACCGATCAAACCTCGGAGAAAAGTGACAATATCACATTCCTCTGTTTCATGGTCCCAGGCGACATACACGTCAAGCTTAAGATTCAGAAGCTCGTTATCAACAATGGTCAGAATGTTAAAGCAACACCTAGATATTTAAAACATGCGGGACAGTGTGTCATAAAAACTCACATCAATACCGCATATGCAGGAGGACCGCCGAGGTTCAAGCATGAAGAAAAGAGTCGAATGTCAATCAAGTGAAAGGAATTTTGTCTTGTAATGAAAATACCATATCTATTGAGTATTCTTTACAATCGTTCATCCTTTATGAACGAAGCCATCACTATCCACTTGCCCTTTAGACAAACGGGATGGCGCTTTTTAATCGGTCCTACACACACACCCAAATCACTAGCCTCATTTTTACCAATCATCTCTTGTTTCCATCATCTGCATTGCCATCTATTATTCTAACATTTTATTATTCTAACATTTGAATCTACTCCACAATTCTCGTTTCCATCTCTCTGACCTTATTAAGCACACTATCTTAATTAAAGGTAATTAATTGATTAATTAGAGCATGATGACTCTTTTTACGCGAAATATACCATTCTTTTTTCTCATTCCTCGTTCGTTCTCAATCAAATCAATATCCTAGTCTGGACTTTGAAAAAAAAAGCCATTTTCTGCGGCGAGAATGGCAGAAAAAAAAGAGCCTTTCCTGCGGCGTGTTTTCGACTTGGAAACTTTTTCAAATTTAAAAAAAGAGACCTCTAGCCAAAATGTCAAGTTTGGTCCCAGCCTGTGCATGTGCACATGAACTTCGTCCTCAGGCTGGTGACGAGACTGAGAAATGAGTTCTTTGCGCCAGAGGGTCAAGCTTGTCGCTCTTTTTGGCTAGACTCTTTCAAATATAAATGGTTTACTTAACAAAATTCTTATAACTGAAAAGGACTAACCAAAAAGAGTGACAAACTTGACCTTCTGCAGCGCACTAAAGATTGTCACGTCACAATGACCCAGAAAATGGCACGTGGCTGATTTGAAAAAAATATTTTCTCACACGTCGCCTAACCTTGCTCCTTTCTTTCCTTTGCTCCACTTCATTTTCGCCACCTTTTTCATATTTCACCACTTACCTCTTTTATTCATTCCAAGCCTTCATCTATTGCCTTTCCTTTCCTTTCCTTTCCTTTTTTTTTTTTTGCCTTACACATTTTTCATTTTTGTTTTCATACAGCGACCACGGGTGATAGAGTAAGAATATACCTTTGCCTATTTAACCATCATTCTCCCTGCATTTCAACCACACTCAGTCCCACTCATCTTAATTTTCAATGGCCACCACAAGGAGCCAAGCACAAAAAAACATGGCTGCAAATGATTCCACAGAGAGCCAAGCACAAAAAAAAATGACAGCAAATAAGCCTGAGGATGCCTCCACACTCAATAAGCGAAAAAGAGTAAACCAGCACCCACAACGAAAAAAGCGCGCCATCCCACTGCTGCTGGTTCTGAACTGCGTTGTTGAGGGAGAAGCAACGTCGTTCCCAGTAGAGATTTTCTGCGATAAATCGGTCGGGATGCTCAAGCAAGCAATCTACCCCAATATTACTGTGGATCCAAGCATTAAGCCCAAAGATCTCACCCTCTACAAGGTCTCCATCCCTGACAAAGGCGAGGCTATCTTTGAGTCAGAAATCGAGTCAAAAGAGGCTCTCACAATCGCGTCAATGGAGCTTTGGGAGATATTTAATTCTGAACTTCCAAGGAAAACTATCCATGTTTTTGTCAAGCCACCGCAGCGAGGTATGTATTAGCTCTTGACGGACTGATAGTTATATTTTCAATTGATGAAGCTTGTTTGCTTATTTTCATGCCCAACACCATGTGATATCACGCCTTTTTTATGTTTGTTTCGTTGTAATACAGCTGTTTTATTTGTTATTGAGATGGATCTCACGTCAGGTTTTTACTTGGGGTATTGATGTGTTTGAGAAAACATAGAGATGCAACACTAACATAGTCTTGATACTTTTCGATTTAATAAAACAGGTCAAAAGAGGGGTCGCGACAATTTTGAAGTCGACGAGGGCGACGAAACTTCCTCCAAAAGACCCAAAGTTGAAGAGGACAACTTAATCAAGGCAATTCGAGCAGCAGGACTTTCCGAAAAAGCCATAG